CGACGCCCGTCGAAAACTTCGAAGGCCGTCGAAAAATGCGACGCCGGATGGCACATATGGAACACCATAGCAGATGCCGAACCGCGAGTGGCAAATGCCAGTTCACGTCCGAGTCAGCTTGGGGGGGGGTGCCATCAGTGTAACAGCGTTTGGGCTTAATGGTAAAAGCAGATATGGTATCAAAACTAGACTCCATAAGACAAACAAAACAGACTTAAACACTGTCAAACTTGAAATGCATTTAAATATGATTTGTTAACCTTCATTTCGCTCCAATTATTGCAAACTTTCGAAGTGGCTCTCACCGTGCCTTTATGTGATTTGCTATGATACATAATATAATTCCATAGTGCGACAGAATATATCCCAGTGCAGAGAATGTCAAGGTGAACTTTCAACGGTTCCAGTACGTCAGGCTCTCAGTGTCATCACGATGAATGAACATCAAAAGTTCTTCCGTTGGTTTGTAATTGGTAATTGGATTCACAGCTCGTGACGGTATCTGCGCGCACGTGGTAATTTCTGACTTCCCCACAAAAGTCAAAAAGGTCTTCAACTGTAGTAGGATATCAACATGCAGTGTGCCTGTACTGACAACTTAAAGTGTAAGATGTGGCAATTTGGCCTCGTGCTAGTTATAATTGCTCTAATATGAAGTTGCTGTATAAGATACATGTAACTTCTATTATGCTCAAAAATGTGAACTGCTCGTCAAGGGCAGATGGCAGGTGTGCGGTAGCAGCGGGATCTTCAAGGTTGTCGAACTGGAAGCCCCGCATGTCGACTCCATATTCAGCTTATACGAGATTTTTAAGTCGAACTGGCCGGGTTCGAAGCACACACTGTAGTCATTAGGAGACAATTATAAGGGCTTTGCGCTGAAGTTTGACTCAGGGTACCAATGCATCACCTCAGTCGAAGTTAATCCCACAATTGGGTCAGAAGAGTTTGGTTTTGGTGCAATTGTAGTTTCTTATAATAGTCTACAGTCTGAAAAAGTTGTTGATTCAATTCTTTCTCCTTGTGGGCTTAATATGCAGTATCATCAGTGGACTTTCAGATATGATCTTGGAAGCACAGGTGTTGTTAAATTGTGTTAAGTTTAATTGCAATTAAAGATTCGGTATGGAGAGATTGGAGGATAACGTAATGTCCAGGTCTGTAAACTTTTGAGTATAATGCGCCTGTCTTGATGTGTAACGGTGTTTTGACTGTAGCATAGGGAGACAAGGCGATTGTTCAGAGAGAGGTACGCGACCATGCCGGTAGTAATGTCCCATAGCGACTCATTTGTACTATGACGGTTTCCATTCGAAAATGGACAACCGTCAGAATATCAGAACTCGAGTTAATTGACCTGTCGCGAACCGTCAGCCTGCAACATCGACATATGCAGGGAAAGCGCTACAGGCTAGCATAACTCGATTTGTACACTTATGGAACCCAATTTTCATCCAAGGTCAGCCTAGATAAGATTTCACAGAGCTTTGACGCTGTACATGGTTTCCAGCTGTTCTGATTCAAGGGTACACCCTTGGTAGACGTGATTGTATTATAAATCAGATGTCACAGTTCAGCCGAACAAACGTGACCTGCAACAGCTAAGGGTACTGTACATGTACATCGTGGTTTCGCCCGCAGACTTGCTGTAGGTACATGTACAGTGCACATGTACATCACAACTCGCAACCGCAATCATTTTACTCATCTCGTCTTATCTTACAGAAAGTACATCTGTATAGTCCGATGCCACTATGTGATGTCTGTAATACCGAAATGAATTGAAATATTAGGTGCATACTTTCAAATAAAATAGTGATCACAGATATTATATGTATCATATTTCACAGAGTTGTTAGACAAGCAATTAAGTTAGGTATAAGTTGCAGCGATGAAAGCTATGCTAATTCGTTGTGTGTTACTAGTCAAGTATTTGAACATGACGTTAGATTGCTTCTACATTGTACTGACCAAATAATTTGTTACACAGATGAAGTGGTACATGTGATACCTTTTTACACCCAGATGATAAAAGGTTGGTTACATTTGGAATAAAATATCATATGGATATTAATGTGACATTAAAAAGTGATCCCCTACGAAAATGTTGCTAACATATTGACTCTATAAACAAATAGAATTATTTGAATTCCAAGTTTGATTGAAACCCACAACCTCACAGCCGAAGCAAAGTATACCCATGAGGCTTCATGCTGAGGTCTTCTGGATAAACCCCCTTGCATGGTAACGGAGGTACGTGATGTCGATATTCTAAGAAAAATATTTTTGAGAGACAACATGTTACTGCAGTTTGTCGATCAATCCTAGATGAAATAATGGACTCTCAGCAAGTCGAGGCTATGTGTTGTAGAATAGTAAGAAAGTGTGGCCTCAATGACACTGTTGTTAATTATTATTATTAATATATTATTAAATATAATCCCGGAGGTTTGGAATCATTTCAGTCGATCCCCAAGTAGGTGGATTGATACGCTCCTGTCAACAGTTTGGGCGGATGTTGTTTTGGTTGTGAACTTTGTTCTTTTTATTAGGGCATTTAAATTATCTGAAGGCAAATATGCAAAGCCACGTATCAATAAACAGAGTCGTGAGCTAACACTTGGCGCTTATCAGGCTATTCAATGCCGGTATTGGTCAGAAACTGCTGGAAGGGTTTTTGAACTTGTCTAAAGGAGCTCGAACACGTCGGGACCATAAAGGTGGGGAGTGAAAACGTGACAAGAACGAGCAGAAGCGGCATGACTTTCCCCGAGAATATAGTACTGTGCGCGCTTTCCTCTGTGGGAACGCTACCACATTTTGTTCGAGAGAATGTTATCTTACGGCTTCCTTCAGTTTACCTGATGGCTAAGCGATGGGGATTTACAAGATTATATTTAATCCACAGCTTTAAACCCATGTTGGAAAATGGTGCGAATTAAGCAGGTCTGTATTCACGAGGCGTAGCTCAAGAGCTGTACATTTTGAGAAGTCTACTTCCTCTTTTTATGCAGTCAAATCCGTCCTTTAATTTATGATCATTAGGGTCTGTAGTCTAAATCATCGCACACACAATAATATAAAAGGCACCGCCTTACTGTACTCGGTGCGGTTGGTACCAAGCAGGTTGTTGCACAGTTGTGTGGTATTGATCGTCAACAGTCTGTCGTAAATCTCTTGATGTTGTGGACGACTTGCATTTGTTGATCAGATTGCTCAAGTACTGTGAGATAAAAATGGCTTTGTTGTGATGTTTCTTTACTGGGTCTTGCGTTAAATTTATGGGATCCATAACAGTAGGCCTAAGGTCGTGATCAACGATGTCGTTTCATGAGGGCAAACTAAGGCGCATGTAAGATCCTTTTATCAAATCTACATGCAAGCACACGCCAGCAAGCAACCCACGATGCTTGCAACGCCTGTATTTCCTTCACCGAATTCTGCAAAAAGGTATCACCCAAGGGTACTCAGGCTACTTGACTGCAAACTAGCGTTGGCCTTTCCGTTGCTCACGGTGACTTGGTCGCTAGTCCCACGGGGGCGCCCTTTGGTCTGAAGTGCAGCTCCTTGGTCAGCGTCGACACGAAGCACGGCATCTGCTTCTTTCTCGTCATGAACGTGTTCTCCGATAGGGACTCGTACTGTAGCGCCACCATGCGGTTGACGAGGGTCAGGAGTCTGGTCAGCTCCCAGCTATGGCCGTAGGCCTCCATTGCCTGGACGAGGGATTGGATGAACCAGGCACCGCTTGTGGCGTTGCGCCAAGACGCATAGCCTGAAAGACGATGTGTAATCAAGGACAGATCAAAAGATTTTATGTCTTGGCTTTTTAGAGAGACACATGATCCCCACCTACTCAAAAAGGCCCTTAGTTGTACAGAAACTCATCTTGCATGGGACTTCTGTAGCCTTGGTACAAGACGGTACTATCCCGCACAAAAGGCTATAAACTTCCGTCTTTCGGCGATGAGTAACACTTATTAGAAAGCGTAGGATTCTGCTCAAAGATTCAAAATGCTGCAGTTACAGTGAGTTTCTCTGATTGAACGGGATCACGTAGGCAAGCATTATCTAATGCTCGCAAATCGTTCCCGACAAAGTCTCATTTCAAATGCACCAGACATTTCGTCATCCATTCGACTCAGTTTTGTCTATCACACTCGTATGAAATCGGTCCGCAACATTAACCGTGTCGGTAAACATCGAAAGAGATTTTCAAAACTTACCCTCTGGGGAGGAATATGCCATCAAAAAGTCTGCTTCGACCGGGACAGTTCTGGCCGCCTGGTAGCCAATCATGGCGTCCGGTTCGTCGACGTCATGGCTGTCTATAGCAACGCCTTGGTCCACTATTTCTCCACGGCACGCCTATCGACATGACGACAAAGGCTCGAGTCGTTCGATAATTGCTGTCAAAATCTTATTTCTGAACAGGCTTCTAATAATGGCCTTATTACTCTGCTAACTAAAGTTGTGCAAGACAAATTATCATCCGGATTGGCCCACCTGGAAAATGAATAGCTTGGGTTTGCCGATCAAACTCCGGCAGGCGTCTCCACGGAATGGTGTAGTGATTTCTCGGGTTGGCATGGGTCCGTCCGTGCCGTATATCTCACCTTCCTCCCCGTGTGACATGATGGCGATGAGAAGGCAGTCGGCGTCGCTGTGATCCTCCTTGCTAACTGAGAAAGGAAAAAACATGCGTCTCGAGACAGAGAAAATGGCTTACACTGTTCGAACACCCTTTACACTCTAAGAAGGGTCAATCAAATTTGACTAGAATTCAGTATGACTAGCTCTTCAGGGTCAGCCGGGTTCAACAGGAAATTAGTCAACCTGGCCAGATTTTTTCAGTCAGCTCACTGATATTTCGAAAGGCATCGAATAGGACACTTGTCAGAAAGCATGATTTACCAACGTGTGTTTGACTGAATACGCAGTCAGTTTTGAACAACTGGGAAAATCAGTCAAGATTTTGACCAGGTTGTTTTAAGAGTGTACTGCTCGAGTTTCAACCTTTCTGCCCTTTTTTGACAAGAATATATAGGTCTAGTCACCTAAATGATAGGTTTGAAGTGGATGCGTTGGTGTCCACAAGGAAGACACTTTGCAACAGTTGTTTTAATTTTCCTTCCACTTGCCAGGGGATACACACGTACTTATGTGAGGGTATGGTGTCCTTCCTCCATGGTCAGGGGATAATGATTGTTGTTTGAAAATAATTCTTGGTGTTTGTTGAATATTGTAAATTTATCTGCAATTCAAGCTGGAGGCCTTGTTATAAGTAAATTATTGTATAATTGCCAAACATAACCCATACAAGACCTGTTGAACTGAACCAAGTGCACGTTCATTGACTGCAGGAGCCATTATTGACATTCCATCGGCGACTGTTGTCTTACAGCAAAATTCTGACTTTTTTGTTTCAACCGGAGGAAATTTGACTGAAATATCAAAGACTCACGCAAGTGTATCAATCGTCTCATCTGGCCACACGTGACATCCTGAATGAGCTTGACCTGGAATCCTAAGTCCTCTAGCGCCCTCCCCAGCCCATCCACGTCGGCCCCTGTGCTCAGGCGCCTGGGCATGTCGGTGCCGGCCGCGAAGTCGGCGTTGTTGATGAGCACGGCTGTCCCGCGGCGTCGGTGGGACATGTCGTAGCGATAGTCGGCGAGCAGTGCGGTAGACAAGGCGGGACGGCGCGGGTCCTGATCCTTTCGTTCGGCGTCTTCGTCTTTGTCTCCGATGAGGTGCTCCGGCGGTGGAATCTTGTGTTTCGAGGCTGAGCCTTTCCTTCGGATGCTTAGTTTTCTGGAACGGATATTACATTCGTGGAAGGCAGCTAATTTGTAATAGAAATTAACCCCTAAATATATCGAAAGAATTATCGACACCAAAACAGCAAAAACAAGTCCTAATTGTTTATAATCAAGCCTCTGTTTCGTGTACAGTATCTTCAACCAATAATCATATCCAAGCCACGTGTAGAACACTGACTGTTGAGTTCAGTCCCCCCGAGCAGAAGCACGCCGTCATCGGTTCAAAAGAGCCATGCTGAATGGGCGTGTTCATTTTGTTGGTCGCCACGCGATCGTAAGGCGTGCATTTAATAGTCATTTGTTAACCAGCGAAGTGCAACTCCCACCAAAGGAACCTCTTTTGCTTGGAAAATAGTGCCCTCTCTTGGTCCCGCTCGGGGCGGGTGTCGTCTTCCCTTGTCATTTTCTTTGTGAAGCACATGTAGGATTTACCTTGCAAACGTCTTAGCGTATCCTTCAAATGTATCTGCTGACGTCATGGTGTCGTTACCGGGTTTTCTATCACCGTCGTCGTCGTGACCGTTATCACACCGACGCGGGGACACTTCTGAGAAAACAGGCCGAACCACAATTGGAAGAATTGTGGATATATTATTATTGTAGACCTTGTTGTATTTTCCCAACTTGGCGATTATAAGGACCCGTCGTACCCATGTCATCAGGTTGTATCTTGCTGTCCCAAAGGTCATGAACCATAAGCCTGTACTTCATCGGATAGCTAATGTTGATTGGTATGAAGTCATTCAATTGGTTTACTTATAGACTGGTTAATATTGTACTCTAACACAGTCATATGATGATACAATAAACAAACTTCCATTTCGGTTCCGTTCAATAATTTATTTGTATAAAAGCGTCATATGCCCGACATTTTGATGTATAGGTATTGATCCCATGTTGTTTACGTTTGTGCATTATTTCCCTACGCTTAATAAATATTATTGTGTTACATTTCGCATTAGTTTGAAATCTTTCTCACAGCCCGTCAGCCCAGTGAGCCTTCACTATTGTTGCTGTTGTTTCACAATATCTGTCCCGTCAGTAGTTTAACAAGAAAAATCTCAAAACTTAGGCCTAGGGTCTCGAATGCGCAAGGTATCCAATTCTCATTGCCCGTGATGGTTATTTTACCTACCCGATCCTTCAAAATTGGTTCGTTACAGAAGAGGCCTTATTGACCACACTGAGTGTGGGACCCACCTGTCGCATCTGGGTTGTCGACTTCAGCTTTGTCTTCCCCCCGAATGATCCCATCGACTTGAGAATCGTGGCTCATCGCATCGGATTGTCGACCAAACGTTTCGGCTCGGCAAAGAAACGACAGTTATCGAGTTACGATTCCTTCACAAGGTAGGTCATTCTCGGAGATGCTTAAACATAACAACTGCATTCCCTCGCAGTCACACCGAAAACAAATCCGTAAGCAAGCTTGGAAGTTCTGCTGGTATACCCGCCAAAGCAGGGTGGTGGAACCTATGTTTGCTCATTCTAGCAAGGTCATGATTATGCTGCAGAAAACAGTAATGTAGTCAATTTTGATTGGTATAGGTTTGCATACATCATTCCTACGCCGTACATGACGGGCTGTTCCGTCACGGCGTTTTTGTTTAAGCGCAGGAGTTTTGTAACCATTTGTTATTCAGCATGCAGGTACCATAGGCGTATTAAATCGTGCAGACAGAATTTGTCTCATGATAATTTTCTTTCTGTATACCTATGTTAATCCTCGTTGCTAACGCATAAAACACAGGATGGCCATAAATAGTTTCGTACATCTAGTCGTAAACTTGTATATTATATGTCCTTGGTACCCCAATTTCCATATATCGGGCCATTAGAAATGATGTGGGTGACGGAAATATTGCTTCGTCCGAGTCACCAATGGTAATGAACTCCGGCTTTTCAAGAGTGATGATAAGTTTTTATAAAATGTAATTTGCAAAGTTTTGACAGGTCGATACGTCTCCCGTACTTGCATGATGGCATGACGTCCAGTAGATGATTACTGTAGCTCGTTAACTTTAGTCATAAACAAGGCGTACCCGTACAATATTATATGCAGAATAATTTCCCTCGAATACATTTCATGTACTAGCTATCAACCCATTTGCCGTGTGATGTGAGATTCATGGCTACATCTTGTCCGGGGTTCGTTCTGAAACTTGTAAAATGGTAGTTATTGGTACTGGAATTCTTTATTAATTAGTTCGACATCTCTTTTGCGCTCTTTGGTCTGAAGAACAGTTCTTTGGTCAGCGTTGACACGAAGCACGGCATCTGCTTCTTTCTCGTCATGAACACGTTCTCCGATAGGGACTCGTACTGTAGCGCCACCATGCGGTTGACGAGGGTCAGGAGTCTGGTCAGCTCCCAGCTATGGCCGTAGGCCTCCATTGCCTGGACGAGGGATTGGATGAACCAGGCACCGCTTGTGGCGTTGCGCCAAGACGCATAGCCTGAAAAAAGAGTACAACGAAATTGAAGAAAAATGTAGATTGTTGGTACTCTTTAAAGCTCTGATTAATATTTTAGTTATAAAATAGTCTACGCGCTTTTGGTATGTTTTGAAGTGCGAACAGTCTTTAAGAAGATGAAGTTGTACCTTTAGGAGAGGAATATGCCAGGAGAAAGTCGGCCTCTGTTGGAATAGTTCTGGCACTCTCGTAGCCAATCAGTGCGTCCGGTTCATCCACGTCGTGGCGATCCATAGCTACGCCCTGATCCACCATCACTCCTCGACATGCCTAGAACGGAACAGTGCGCAGAAACGATCTACAATGTACAATTAGCATATTCCTATTCGCTATTTGCACGCTGTCGCCATAGGCACGCAGAGTCTCGAACTGGCAGCTTGTCACATTAGAATCGCTTTACCCAATCGCGCAATATAAGAACTAACGCAGCACGCGCAAATTTACGTAAGCAACATATACACGGGGATCAGTGAACCGGCTATGTTTACTGTGTAAAGCTGCCTATTGAGGCAGCGTGCAAAGAGCGAATGGCAGCACCAATGCCATAAAAACCTTATAGCTGGGAATTGATTCAAATGTAAATCCTGGACAATTGAGTCCGTGTTGATGGTTAACACGAATACCTGCTTTACTTCAAAATATTTTATGACCCTCCACATCTCACCACAGATATATTCGTTGTCTATGCACAATAAAATTTCACGTCAATGTAAATTCATTGAAGATCTGTAGTAGGTCATTGAAACGTTATGCTGAACATAAAAAACAAACGTTTTTACAGTAAGTAATCCTTGCACGATTGGATGGGTTTAAATCCACATCCGAAAACCATAAAGATATAAACACGATTTTAAATTAAAGATAATGGATATCTTAGCGCGGTCCACGATTTCTTATTAGTTGTTTTGAGGAATGCTTAGGCGTGTCCGTGGAATTTCCGTCGGATTTTCCCACCTGGAAAATGAAAAGCTTCGGTTTGCCGATCAAACTCCGGCAGGCGTCTCCACGGAACGGTGTAGTGATTTCTCGGGTTGGCATGGGTCCATCCGTGCCGTATATCTCACCATCATCACCGTGTGACATGATAGCGATGAGAAGGCAGTCGGCGTCGCTGTGATCCTCCTTGCTAACTGCATATGAGAAAAGACAGCTTATATTTTTGTTTCTGCTTATATAAGCCAACTTATAAGTTTTGACAAAATTATGCATGCACGGACTTCCATATAGATCCATAAAAACGGATCAATATTAATTTTCAGTGAAATAGCATAGAAACATATTAGTAAGCTTTGGGGATCTTAGAAATATCCACGAACTTACGAGCGTGCACCTCTCGCTTGATTTGTGCACATGTCTGGTCTTCGAAGACTTTAACCGAGAATCCCATGTCCTGCAGCGCCGTCCTCAACCCATCTACATCTTTCTGCGTGCTCAGGCGCCTGGGCATGTCAGTATCCTCCTCGAAGTTGGCGTTGTTGATGAGCACCGCTCTCCCGCGCCGACAGTGAGACATATCGTACCGGTCGTCGGCAAGCAGTGCTGCAGACAGAGCTGGTATGGACGGCTCAGCGTTGCTCCCGTCGACGGTTTCTACCGCCGGCGTGTCACTGTGTAAATGCTGGAGTTGAAGAGGCAGTCCCTGGTTTGGCGCCGAGGAATCCATGTTCTTGCTAACAGCCGGTGCCCTTTTGATAAAACGCGTTATTGAGCTGATTCGTAAACTGACAATGCATTCTCAGATTCCCAATTTATTTAGAAGCAGATGCATCCCCACACATACACACAGAAGCACTTTGTTATCACGGAAAGGCGCTGCCTTTTGATTTTGCCAAAATTTCGGTATTAAAAGGCAACTGAGGGAAGGATACCTGGACAACGGGGTTGCATGTTCCTCCAAATCCCTCATCGTACTAAGGGGACATTCCGCATCTGGAACAAAATTACATTTACAATGGTCTAATTAAAAATATTTTATGAACTTTGGTGTAATTTGGGGGTATTTGAACACTGAAGCAGTTTTATGAAACGCTGTTTAGTTGAATGTGCAAAAAAGAAACTAGATAAAAATGTTTGCAAACTCAATATTGGTTTGCCAATTACCACTATCCAAAACATTATGACTTACTGTCAATTATACAACCCCCTTTGTTTTATTTTCTCTTTTTAACTGAGATCAGTTCCCTGTAACCACAAAGCACACTTCATAAATAACCAATTCAGGTCCACAACAATCTTGGGGGGTTTGTCGGGGGACCAAACTTAATTGGACTTTTTCTGGTAACCTGTGATGACATTCTTGAGGGGTGAGGCTGAGGCTTTTCATGCTTGTTGAGAGAAGGAAAATGAAAAAGCCACAAAAAATCTCCTTTCGGTTTTTAAAATGTATTTTAATGTATTGAGAAACAGTCATAAATTAAAGAGTCTACTTAATAATAGGCCTCTACCCGTCAAACTGTCAGCATTATTTACTGTTGGGGCTCAGCAAATTGAGAACATAATCCTGTCTGGACGCAGCAAGGCGTGACCTTCGTTTGTGTTGTTTGAAATTTAAAACGATGTTCGTGAACACTATGCTTTACTCTGTTTCTCCAAGGCCATAGTGTTCTCGTGGTACATGTAATTTGCCATACTTCACACGGTTTCTTTTGGGAGAGGTACTTCAAAGATAGTGACACTTAACACCATTTCCAAAGATACCTTCTTTTCAAACCTCTTTAACCTATTATTTAGTTCGTGGACATTATTGCTTATAAAAAATATCAGTCAACAAGCCGCTTTTGTATAGAGCTTTATAACTGACAGTAATGTTGATATGGCGATGAGGCACCATCTGCTTCAGAGCTTTGGTGTGTTTGCCTGACTTGATGATAAGAACACCTGGTCCAGCATCCAAACATTCAACATGGTAGCGCATAACTCACCTCTTAGGCTTGCACCTATCAGACCTGAGGCCCTCGCATCGCTGCTCCGGCCTGTCCCTGTTTCGGCTACACCTTCCACCGTTCTGTTGCCCCCCGTGTCCCTCTGCATGTTGCGGCTCATTGCTCGAAGGGAATTAAATTGGCGATGAATGCTGTAAACTAAATGTTTGATATAAAGACAAGAACGTTGTCCTTCGACAAACCTCGGACCTGTCGTAACGAAAGGCTTTATCCAACTCGGATTCTGAGGTCTAGAGCTGGGTACAGGTCTTCACCTGTTGGAAACACGCTGACAACAGACGTAGCCATAGCTCTGCAAGGCCGTTTCGGACACGGCTTAATAATGCGTACAAATTTGAGGCTTTGACGATCTACACGCGATGATGCTTTTGCCTTAGCAGGTATGTAGCAAGTTTGCCCCCCCCCCAAGTAATTCACAATGGAAGCCTGCAAATCGTGGTGCGTCCGCCTTTGTAAAGAAGTCACTTACGAACTGGGTAGAGTACCGAAGTGTGGCGTCACTGTGAACCGGAACGGTAGTGCCAACAAATGGAGTACGCGCGCGTGTACGTCTTGGTTCGTGCGCAGATTCTCATTCTAGGGTGCATTCATTGATCTCCATTATATAATGGAAATCAATGGGTGCATTCTACCAAATCGCATTTCTGCGCGCGAGCTCATTAATATTTTGTGATTCCATGTGATTTTTACTATAAGACAGGCCGTAGTCAGGAGGGATCATAGAAATTAGAAACATTTCTATAAATCTCGAATTTGGGACTGATAGTTTCTAGTTCGGGGTGTTTCTTTCACAAAATATCCCAAATTGCGGACCTTGTTTGGATAGAGGCAGGCGGCTACATTCAGAAATGAGCGCTTTTACTTTTACTGCTAGTTTGGGGGTATCTTCGGTGGAAGGCGAATAAAAAAAATTAAATGGCTAACCCCCATAAAAGTGAAACGAAAAGTGGTCTCCTGGCCATAATCTTGAATTGCCAATGAACAAAATGGAGGCTAACCTCTTCACGAGAGTCAACAGGTGGCGCTATTTTGGTCCGATTTTGCACGTATTTGGTGTAGTACCTATAATAATTGAATTGTGTGTGTATAAAATTTTTACACACACAATTTTTTGCACGCACGTCACGTGTCACTTCGGTACTCTATAGCGTCACTGTAAATGTAGACCCATAGGCTTACCAGTTGTTTGTAAATAATAATGGATTGTTAATTCGGTTAGAGTTTACAGCAGCCCATCGAGAAAAAGTTGAAGACGATACCCATTTTAATTGCATTTGTTAACATGCACCTCCCCCATCTTGTCACTCTCGGTCCGCCCACACATCGGCGCATAATTTGATATCAGTTATTGTGCATTCCTGTTTGGATTATTATAATAGAATACATAAGTACAATATTGGTATATACACCTAAAAATAATTAAGCGGGTAAGTCCTTTTCGGATTCCTTCCTGGGCTTTTTGTTTAACATTTATTTTGAAAAGTTTTGCGGCTGTTAAAATACAAATAAGCGGACGAGCCTAAGGATTTCATCAGAAAAGATGGCGACCGAACCCATGCTGAATCCACATCTGGCGAAGCAAGATTTATCTAATCTCGTAAGTTATGCGTTTGCTGATCAAAAATCTAAATAGAATACGCGAACTTATAATCTAGGCATGTGATTTGCTATTTGAATTTTGTAATTAATTTTTAAAAGGTTTTTAGGCGGTATTTTTCCGGTGTCGAAGTTGCAAGTCCTGCGTGTCCGTATGGCACGGCATGCGTAACGTACTGTGGCATCATAACCGGAGCGGTGCTGTTATTGTGAACGTTTTATATTGGAAAATCAGTTTAATCCTAACAGTCCCAAATCCTCCGATTTTCAAGATGATTTTACATACACCCTAGGGAGTTAGGGTTAAACAATGTGGCACCGTATTAAAATGACATGTTATCGTTGCACGTTTATGTTGTCTTTATATCTATGAAAATTGCTTTAAACCTGCATAAGCAGTTAAAGTAAAATTGGAATTGTAGAACTAAGCCAAGGATGCCTAGGCTACAGACAGTACAATATTCATGATCAGGTTGGGGACCAAACCACAATCTAGCATTAGCAATCTAGTGACAATGTCAGACTGTGCATATTCCCCTCGATTGTGCAACAATGATGTAATTTTTGAGCAATTTTTAGATCACGGTTCACAGATGATATCGATCTCTTTATCGATCAAAAACATCAATACAGATTGTTCTGATTGATCAAATTTACAGGAAACATGCTAGGCCTACCCCAGATCTAAATGAAACTTTCCTTTCATTTGGTATCTCTAAAAGCGCATTGAGGAAATTTTTTTCAGTTGAATCTTGCACTGGAGGTTTTGAATTTGGTAGGCGAGTTCAATTCTGCCAATGAAAATGTTTACGTGAAAAAAATAAAGCTTTGCGGAAGTTTACTTTATGCATGAAAATGTTGCCATCAAAAATCTCCATCAACTCACCGTAGCAATTTTTATATTTACCGTGGCAATTTTTCAAAATAGCGATCAGAAATAATTTTGCCATAGACTCCAAAAGTAATGGCAACAGTGGCCATGTTGGCTGCTGGCATTTCAAATCTTGTTATTCTGCCAAAATCTTGCAGGAAAATGGCATCATTATCACATGACCTGATAAAAAGTACGTCATTGCCGCTTGAATAAGCAACACAAGCAAAAACTAGGGACAATGCTAGATTATGGTTTGGTCCCCGACCTGATGATAGGCTAAACCTATTCCCAGCCTTTCCCTCATTTTTTCCACATTGCAGGATGTATCAAAATTGAACCCTTTGTCACCAGAGGTGATAAGTCGGCAGGCAACGATAAACATAGGTAAGTAGGCCTATGAAGATCTGTCAAAACAAGAAAACTATACAGGCATGACAATTGTTGTTTTTTAGTAAAATTGGATTCCCAACCTTGGCTCAGACATGTCAGACCAGGCAGCAGTTTTGACATCAGTGGCTGGTCATGACTCTTTGCTTGTGTTTCATTTATCAGGAACCATCGGTCATGTGGCCCACGGTAAGTCTACCGTCGTCAAGGCCATCTCGGGGGTCCAGACTGTTCGCTTTAAGAATGAGCTGATCAGGAATATCACCATCAAATTAGGATATGCAAATGCCAAGGTAAAGCAGTCAGAAAATATGGGGAAGTCCTTCGATTTAGGACCATGAGACGATCACAGACGAATTTCCCCAGCAGAAAATGATTAGGGATCAGCAGAAAGTCTTGTTTTCACATTTCTTGTGACCATTTCTCAAACATGTCAGCTGATTTTGTGAATTCATTAACCCTAACCCCCTAGGCCCTTTTACTAGGAACCATCCTGAATCCTCCAAAATCCTCTGATTTTCAACATAAAAAAATTGCATTCAGTCGTCAACATGATTTTAGCTCCTTCCCTTTGTCTTGATGTCTTGAACATCAGTGTTTCATAAAAGCACTAATATACAGAAGCATGGTTTGTATTAGGAAGGCATTTTTTCCTGCTAACAAGATTCCAGTCCACTGTAGGTCACTGCGATATCACAGCATTTCAGCCACGACAAATTCTTTGTTTTGTAATTGCAGATTTACAAGTGCGACAATCCTGCCTGTCCACGTCCAGGCTGCTACCGGTCAGCAGGCAGTAACAAGGAAGATGTCTTTGCCTGCGACAGACAAGGTTGCAGTGGCAAATTCAGACTTTTAAGGTGAAGGTTTCCATCCGTAACGTCCTTCAATTCATATCCTCAGATTCTGTAAATTGTATACTGAACCTGGGAGAGAAGTGATCTGAGCAGATCTAATGGCTGCTCATTTCAGTACCTGTGAGATATCGTTAACTTCTGCGGATTCTTCCACAAAAGGAAACTCGGAACAAAATTAGAGCCAGTGACGTGCTGCAAATGAAAATATCACAAACCCAGTCACAAGACCGGTCATAAGAGCAGTCACAATACCCAGCGCACACCCCAGGGTCAAACAGTGACAACGGAATACTTTTGTTGCTGCTCATCTGAATAGCTTGAACTTGAATTCAGATGGGAGGTCTTGTGTTGGTCTTGTGATGGTCTGAACGGGTCTGGATTTAGCATTTGTAATGTTGTCCTTACCCTCAGGCATGTCTCCTTCGTGGACTGTCCAGGCCATGATATTCTCATGGCCACCATGTTGAACGGCGCTGCTGTGATGGACGCTGCCTTACTTCTCATTGGTAGGTGCAAAGGTTGATGTATCTGGTTTTCTGACAAGTTGATTTCCAATCAGTTCAAAAGGTGTTTCAAAGTCCCAGAGAGGATCGAAAAATATCACTCATTAAAAGAACAAACATGGTTCAAATTTAGCCAATCACAGCTTGTAAGTATTGTGTTGTCTTATTTGAAGGCCTTAGACATGTACTGTGTTGAGTTTTCTACACAATAACCACATTTAAAAGACACTAAATGCGGTTAACTATTGCTGAGAGGTCGGGCACGTGTCTAAAGGTTTGTAAGAAATAGGAATGAACACTTTTTAGATTGGGTAGAAGTTGAAAAGTTGAAGACAATCCCTAAAGGTGGAGCAGGCAATGTGAGTGAGTCATACTTATGTTTATATCCTTTTCTACCAACGTTAGCGGGTAACGAGTCCTGCCCCCAGCCCCAGACCTCTGAGCACTTGGCAGCCATCGAGATCATGAAGCTCAAACACATCCTGATCCTACAGAACAAGATTGACCTGGTCAAGGAGACTCAGGCCAGGGAGCAGTACGATCAAATCCTCCGATTCGTCCAAGGTAGGTCCAGGAAGATCAGACAGCCTCTTTCACGGTTGTTTCAAAATTCATGCACAGTTTTCCAGCGAGTGTAACCATGTCATTCTGACACAAGTTTAGACCAACACACAAAACAAAGACAACATTGAAACTAATACGCAAGCCAATTCTCTTTTGTCACTTGTAAAGGATAGCACAGCAAAAGAGGCAGGGTTCCAGACCTTGGGCAGTGCTTTTACTGAAGTATTGGCGAATACATGCCCATGCACCAATGTAGTGTTATTTCATTCCTTGCTTTCCTCTATCTTGAAGGTGTGGCAAAATCTGTCATTTATTTACCCCATGTGACCTCTAATCAGCCAATCAATACGGGGCCCAACAGACCTGAATACTATCTCTGTTTTGATTTTCATAGGGACGGTAGCAGAGGGGGCACCAGTCATTCCCATCTCGGCTCAGCTCAAGTACAACATTGAAGTCATCTGTGAATATATCACCAAGAAAATCCCCATCCCGGTCCGAGATTTCACGTCAGAGCCAAGACTTATCGGTGAGTCTGAACCTCATACATTAAATTCTTCCTCTGAACTTCCAAACCTGATCATGGAATTTTATGTTTAAAAACATTTTTGCTTTGTTTTCATATTGTATGGTTGCTTAATATCTGACTTCACTGTGAAATGAATTTCTCAAATCTTTCCCTTTGTAGTGATTCGGTCCTTTGATGTGAACAAACCAGGAAGTGAGGTCAAAGACTTAAAAGGAGGCGTGGCTGGAGGCAGCATATTGAGGGGGGTGCTGCGGGTACGTATATCGCCTTTTAATGCATGCTTACCAGGTCTGTTTCATATTCTGTAAAAGCCTCTTTGACTTTGGGCTGCATCTGAATTTTGACCCTTAAACTTTTTTGAGAGTACATGTGGGTAACTGTAGGTTTTCATGCATTGTGTTCTTGCCTGCTGTAGGTGGGACAAGAGATTGAAGTACGTCCCGGGATCGTATCCAAAGACAGCGAGGGGAAGCTTCAGTGTAGACCCATCTTCTCCAAGATCATCTCACTCTTTGCCGAGAAGAACGACCTCCAGTTCGCCGTCCCAGGAGGGCTCATTGGTAAGTCCAGGCTCTCTCATAGACCAGGTTGACGTGACTCCCTCCGTCCTCAACCCCATTCAGGTTTTGTCATTTTTTGGCACCCTGCTTAATCCAAGATTATTTATGAGGACCAAAGATCTTTGTTTCACTTTTTAAATCAACACCCAACGGAAATCTCAAATACTAGAAGTTGACCCAAATTCCACTGGAATTTTTGTTGTCAAACCTCCTAAGAACCTAATGACACATTATTTGATCTTCAAATCGGAAAAGACTGGTCCAACATCCAAACTTTTCCAAAATCAGGGTTACTAATTCAAATCAGAATCAGTCAATCATTCTCTTTGAATTATCAACAAATGTTGTCCTGGAAATCGGACATTGGCTATTTTTTCTTCAAATCATTGTCCTGATGATCTTGGCCCTTTTTCCCTTTTTGCCACAGGAGTGGGTACCAAGATTGACCCGACTCTGTGCCGAGCTGATCGTCTGGTGGGACAGGTGCTTGGAGCTGTGGGTGCCCTGCCAGACATCTACACCGAGCTGGAAATCTCCTACTTTCTCCTGCGTCGCCTGCTGGGAGTGCGGACGGAAGGAGACAAGAAAGGCGCCAAGGTAGGCAACCCGGAACACCTGTCATTGTCAGAGTAGAAAAGGATTGTTAAGAGTTTCATAGCAGCCTGCTCAGAGCCTTGTAAGGGAGCGTTACATGCACACACCGATTTACAGGTGTAAATGTTACAGTGTGTGCATGACCAGTTTCATCGGAATGCACACAAAAGCGATCTTTTGTCTTGCCTATGAGGCATACTCAGAGCCTAAAAGAATGCATAACATGCACACAGTGACTCACCCATGCAAATGCTACAAGGTAGCATGACCAGTTTTCAAGAGAATGTGCACAAAATGACTTAGAGAGGTTTTGAAGCAGACCGTTAATGGCAATAATATTTTGCTTCTTTACAGTAGAGGGGGCAGTAACAGGTAATTCAAATGGTATATATTTTACTCATGTCCAAACCAAATGGACCAAATGGCAGTGACCCAGAGCAGAATAAGTGTCTACAGGAAAGGACTTTGGTTCAGCCGCAGCCAGGTTACACAAATGAAGCCTTTTGTGAGAATAGTCACTTGTCTGCACCATATAACGATCTGTGTTTCATCTCATTGTTCACAGGTGCAAAAGCTGAGCAAAGGGGAGGCACTCATGGTCAACATTGGGTCCTTGTCCACCGGTAGCCGCGTCCTAGCGGTCAGGGCCGATTTGGCCAAGATCGTGCTGACCAACCCTGTGTGCACGGAGATCGGTGAGAAGATTGCTCTCAGCAGACGAGTCGAGAAGCACTGGAGGTAAATCATTGTTTCTGTGTTGAAAAGATCATTTTCATCTCTTCACCAGCTCAAATTAGTTCCCTAATTAAGCAAAGATCTTTAAACTCAGTACAATATGTAAATATCTTGGGATAAAACACAAATCTAACAACAGCTGCGTAATTACAGAAAATATGAACGTACAAATAGAAAAGGGATATAAATTTACTGAATACAATACAGGGTAAGTAATCTATATCATACTGAAAAGGAAGATATTCAAGTATTTCTTTAAACCTTAAAAAAATTGAAAATCCCAGCAATGCTATCGAGTCGCTGTCAACCAGGAACCCTTTACAGAGTTTTATTTTGCTAGAAGTTTCTTTTATCTGACTTTGCTGACTGTCGATCAGTTTGTCAACTGAGAGGGGGGCCAGAAGAGTTAGACACCCCCTCTTTCCTACCTTCGCCCAAATCTTTCATTTTAGCAGTAATTCTGTTTGCATTTTTCTCTCATAAACCATGTTGGTCTTTGTGTTTTTTCCGTCAGATTGATCGGTTGGGGGCAAATCAGGAAGGGAATCACCATCAAGCCCACGGAGTCATGAGGTGTCGTTATGTTTGTCCTGTTTTGAGTGTCACTTCACTTTTCTTCTTTTTCATGTACAGTCACCATCTTGGTCTTGTACCCTGACTTGTACTATAGGAAGAGATTAACACATTAATCACATCATGACACCTGTTCGTATATTTTCTATTTGGAGACCCCAATTCGCAAAGGCTCGTTAAATGCAAAAAGGCCGCTCTGTCTGTTAAATGAAGGAATTTTGGTTAAGATGAAACCCCCCCTTTAGTTTCTAATTAATGAGACTTTTGGGACGAATTTCATTTATTCATGCAATACCCGTCATTCTTTGTGCACATTCTGTGACGCACCACTACCGCTCCATTCAATCCTGAACATCTCCAGCTTTCCCATTAAAATATCTGTCATCCAAATGACCAGATACCCCACATGCACCCAAAACATAAATGGACACCAGCCATTCATTTCGAAATTACAAAACACCAGACACAAAGATGTGTTATACTTAGCTTCTAAGAGAAACAACACCTGCATTTTCTCTTGAACCAGATGTCATCCAGGGCTTTTTTAACCACTTGCTGTCGGGTGGTTTGAAAAATGCAGTGCACGTAATTGGGACTTTTTCAAGATTTTCAGTTTTCAAAATTCTTCAAAAATTCAACATTTCAATTAATGGATATTTACACCCACACAAATTACTGTCTGGTGGCCACTCTAGTCTGACAGAAAAAATCTATTGATGCCCGAGTATTTCAGCCAGGCCTGCAGCCTTGTAAAAAGAGCCCAGATTGTGTAGTGTTATATAACTTTCTTTTGTCCACGAACCTGGCACAGTGTGCTGCTGACCTCTTTTCAATAGGGGCCAGATTAGCGTGCAGCGGTGCTGTGTGGCTCATCGCTGCGGTGGTGGAGCGCTTTTGTCCCCAGTAGTAATCCGCTCACTCTAAATGCCCCAAACCATGGTATACTGTTTCAAACAAGGCTGGATTATCTCCACTATTGAGAGTGAAAAAATGTTGGTAATGCCCAGCAGCCTGGTCTTTTGTTACAAGTATGGTCTTTTGTTACAAAGCCCAGTTCCCTTTGTCCGATTTCGGAGACCCGGCCATGCATATAAACACACGGTGCCCGAAACCAGGCTCCCCAGCAGGTAGTGGTTAAGTTAAACTTTCAGAAAAAATTAACACTGTTAGAATTGTGAGCAAGTTACTAGTCTTGGTTCATTTTGACACCGCAGTTATGTAATGACTGTCGCACACTTCACGTTGACTTTAACAGATAAAGTGAACATATTAGGATGCTGTGCTTTGGCGATTTGTAACATTATCCTAGGATTATGATCGTTGAGACTCTGGAGAAAAAGGAGTCCCACCCAAGAGCAGTTATACTTATGTTCTCACGTATGGTGATTTGGTTGTTACATAATCCATGCTTTTACAGGAGAATCCATGGTTGAATCCATAGTTTATCACTGTTCAGAGTAGCACATTATTAGGTTCAACAGATTGTGTTTGCCTATAGTCCATGACCAAAATATTGGGTGATGAAAGATGGGACTATTCTATTTCCCAAGAATGTTACCACACTTAAAAACGAGAGTCACAAATCACTGTAGTGAGTTTTGAAGAAAAAGCCTTCAAAAGAACCTTTCACTATATAAATCTATGGGAACTTTATGATCTTTCTCCCATGTATTGTTGTCTACTTTCGTCAGGATGCTAAAGTGACTGTTGCATCACAACAGAGAGCTCCTTTTGTTGAATCCAGTCACCAGTGTGGGAACAATTTTATGGTAACTGTTGTCAAATTTCAAAATGCTCACAGTTTTGTCTCAAGAACGAATATTTTCAGTAAAAGAAATATCCAAGACCTTAACCGCAACAGTGCTGTCTGATCTGTCTGCCTTCTTAAGTGCGTCACACAGTGCTGGGGATTTGGACACATTATGTAATAAAAATAACCTGACATATTTTACATCATTTGTTGATGAAATGACTCTAAAATTATAATAAATCATCGGTGATCAAAGTGATAAAAAAAATTGTGCTTTCAACATTTATGTCTTCTTGTGTTTTCTACAATTATTCAAATCCTATATAGACATCAATACCTCATTCATGTCAAGTTCCCAATGGGTAATATGGATGTAAGAATGACAGAGGTTATTACATCATAGGTACCAGTCTACTTTACACATTGATGTTATTCAGATGTTTGTTTGGGGGTTTATGTCTGGTAATTGGTTCACACCTGTTCTCATATTGAACACTGACTTCCTGACTAACTCATTGTACTCTGTAAACATGAGAAGTACTTATTTTTGGGGGGGGAAGCAGTTGGTATTACGGATGGAATACTTAGGGGAGATGAAAATGTATTGAAGAGAAAAATGTTATAAATGACTGCTTTCTTGATCTTGGTTTCAGCACCAGTTTTGCTAGCAGAATGTCCTTCAAAATACAAATGTCAACACAATTCAAGAATGAATAAACTTAGGTGTAGAGTTTGATCTCCTTGGACATTTTTTGTGTTCTCCCAAGTTTCTAACAAGTGGAATTCATGAATTAAGGATTTGGAAGTTTGAATTAGAATACAATCCTGACAGCATGGTAACCCCAACATTTGCAGTGATAACACAGATTTTGTTTGTTCCTATCAGGGGTATACCCACGCCAATGCAGTATAAATCCCCCAAACCCAAATATTTGTAGGTCATGCTTTGCTTGTAGATGTTTTTTAACCAGTCTGGAAATGCTCAATGTTGGCCGGTACAAGTTCCTAGCCACATATCTATTGGTTTTTCTGAAGTCTTTGATCAGTGCTGCCAGACTGCAATCTCTTATCTAGATGTCACGTTTGTGTACACACATTCACCCGTTGCTGGTCACATTGGCAAACCAGGTGAAGTGAGATGTCCCTGTAGATGTTCAAACTCTGAGCTCACTTCTTATTCTGTCAGGGTTCTCATGATCATGGAAAATCACAGGGAAAAAGTGTCAAGGAAAGTCATGGAAAAAGTCGTGGAAAATGGGGAAATATGGGATGTCAGGGAATCCTATTGTCAAAGGAACAATCATGGAAATCAAGATCATACAAGGATTTGTTTTTGATGGGCTTCCTTTGATATGATAACAGAATAATGATAAATTGACAGACTACCCTTGCCAGTCAGTAGTAATGTCCTAGGCAGTCTTCAAGTTCACAATGCCAGGCTACTTTTCCCTGCAAACATTGCATTAAATGTCCCATAAATTGTAATAGGAAAGTCATGGGAAAAGTCCTAGAATTTGGTTTTAAGATTTCTGTGAGAGCCCCATCTGTTGGAAAGCTTATGACTGTCACAGTGATACTACAGGTCAGTATTCTCGGTCTATGCCACTCCATTTACCATGTGAAACACAAGTACTTCATAATTGAATTTGTCAGGAAAGACTGTAACTGATACAGTTCCTCCTTGTGATACTCGGGAATTTCTGCAAATTTGAACCTTTTATTTTGGTACATATGCTCATAGTTACCGTCATTATCAACTAGACCACTGATAAAGTCAAAGAAGAGTCTAACCTTCGATTCCTCAAATTACTGGCAGTGGTCACTCAAATGAAACAAAAACACCTGTTGCCGTTGTAACGGGGAAAATGGTACACTATGGGGGAACTCGCAAACTTAACAAAAAAATCCAACAAAGGATCTTTGAGGGAAAGGTCACAGGAAACTGAATTAATAGGGACTCAGACACCAAATATTTGACTTCAAAAAAGGACAAAAAGAATTTATTATTGAAAAAGTACTGAAAAAGACGGGAAAAAGCCTAAAAGGACAAACAGACTGAAAAGACAACATCAAAAGACTAAAAAAAATTTAACAGACTAAAAAAGAAACACTGTGTAAAATGGACCTTATGAGTTTACATTCTGACTTCAATCACTGACTTCTTGCAAACTAGGGCTCAAGCAGAAAACCACACTCCAGTTTAATAGGAGCATGTGAAGTTGACTGGTCTCTGCTGATCTGCCGCGCTGACTGTGGCCAGACGATGTGGCTACATTATATGGGGGGGGGGAGGGAGCTAAGGCTTAAACAAATGAACAGGGGGCACACTAGTAAAAAATATCAAGAACTTTAAAGGTCAACATTTTTAAAAGGGAATGATGTGTAAAGACGTATATTTAATAACATTTATTTCTGGCTCTGGCACACCATTAAGAACGATCAACAGAAATGGACTTAATAATGTCAATGCGGCTTCACTGAAGGCTGGTTTTTATACTTTGCGCGAAAGCCAACATGAAATTGGGATTTCAGATCAAATATTCGCACTGCAAATTTGCAAAAAGTCGAACACACTTCAACTCAAGCAAATTTCACTGCAAACCTCCCTTTTGCAATCTTCCGAAGCTTGAAGTGGCCTCCTGCAGGGAAAGTTAAACACTTTTTTCTCTTCTTTTTGGCAATAACTCGACAGATTTGTGACAAAAAGAACTCACCGTGCATTCAAGGCACAATTAAAACATGATTACCATCTATGTCCATGGTTAGGAGCAATGGCAGCAAAAAATCCCCAATACTTTTGACCTTGAAGTGTTCAAAGGTCAAGTAAAGACAATGAGGTGGGTAGGAGAACAAACACTATTTATACGTAGACTTAAATAATACACAGGGTTCATATTCTTGCGTAAAAGCTATTGGCTTTGACAGTAGCAATGTGAATAAAAACAAAGGCCGAAAAACAGCAGATACACACCTGTAGTTTTTATACAAATAGTACAACCCATCACCACAGAAAATAAGTTGAGTGATGTGAAACAGAATTAGAGTCTAACATTTAGCAACAGCATTAAGGAATGGTTTTGTTAATTAACCCTAGCAGTCTTCAGTCATTTATCTTTTGATATACCGAGGACTTTCGATGATTCATCTTATTGAATTAGGCTGCCCTGTTGGATTAATGTAAGGTTCAAAGAAACAGTTCCAAAGAACCAGCAAGCTACATAGCAACTTTCCTTTGCTTGCAGTTTCTTGCATTATTCTCCAACAAATATATTGTCGTTCTTCAAATCTTGTCTGTCTCCTCTGTCCCTGAAAAAGCCGTGTTTGAATACGACAGTTCCTTCTCGCCTTTCCCCTCAGGCGACTGGGCTTTCGTCTTTCTTCTCCTGGGAAAAAAAGAACCAAAAAAGTCACTATTTCACATTCGGAGTGTTCTCTTTTGGGTGCACAACAGGTTTGTTGATATCATTGTGTTGTTCAAAATTCCATCTTAATTTAATTCTACTGGTCATATATTATCATTAGTTTGGTTGAGTTCAAGAATGAAGTGATCAGTGAAGAAGATTGCAATGAACATGCAAACGTGGTACATGGGTGTGGATTTGTTCATGCTGCTGTTAAATGATAGTACCTGGGCTCTTTTTTCCCCAATCCTAGAAAATCCTCCAAAATCTGATGGATTATGAAGGATCTGGGAGGTATATGATCAACCATTGTCTTCTGCAAATTACTTCACGTTTATTTCTGATGCCTGCGTGAGAAGGAACTTGATTACAGAAGTCCCAGAAAATTGGCCGGGATGTGAACGCCAGACTCGAGACAAAAAATGAGACAGAAATTTTAGACAGAAAAATTTACCAGGACGAAAGTCTCCTTTTAAAATCTTACCCTGTGAATGAATTGGTACTGATCCATCCATCTAAACCTGTTGAGGTGATACAATGAGAGAGTTGGTGACGTCCGAATGGAATGACATATGAATCATATGCACAATGGAGCACTGCGTGCAAAGATTGGGGTGGGAGATGTGGCTCAACGCCCCCTTCCAACATAAATTGTTCACCCATTCTTTCTTGCTTGAAGTAACACCATAGTGAACCCACCCCTTTGAAAATATGAAATCTGTTACCGTATCGTAGTTGGGTCAAACAAGCCCCAATTTCAACTTTTTGACATAGTTTGTTTGTTACATATATCAACCGAGGGCTCTGCTAAACTTTAGATTAGTAACAAACCAGAATCTACCGCTACGTGTCAAAACTGAAATGAAACAAATTTGCTTTTAGTCTTTTATTAAGCTTTTATCATGCACAAATTTTCTGACATGAGGTTCCATTTTTTTTTGCAACATACGCACGGAAAAGTCAAGGTTGAAATATATTGGGTTGTAACAAAGAAACATGAACAATTGGATCAGTAAAATGTAAATGTTTAGCAAGTTACTTGATCTGCATTGGCTGGGATGTTTTTCTGAATCGTATGGTATCTCACATCATCCATTTCAAAACTCAACATAAATGTTTGATAATGCAAAAATACAAACCTCGGTAATTTTTTTATGGAATGCATGGATGATGTTGTTTTAACTTCTGTTTAACTTCTGTTTTCTCTCATTTTTGTCTTTGTGTGTTGGCAAACATGAAAAATGGATTAAAGTGGATGTCGCCCTAACTTGGGTGTAGAAATGGTGTTTGTAGAATGGCTGTAACACTGATAAAAGTGGGCTTGGAATGTAAAAAAACATGAAGGAAAGTTGGCTTCATGCATCAAACATCGTACTTTCCAAATTCCTCGGCATCTTCCACCGTCTCGGGCAGGGCTTTCCCTCTTGTCTCTGGCAAGAGGAAGGCCAAAGCACCAGCTAGGATGGAAGGTACGCCAAATAAGAGTAACGGTAATGGTTGCCAGACTCCATCCAGTAGGAGGATGAGAGGCGAGACGATTCCACCTATCCTAGAAGCCATTGAACACACGCCCATCCCCACTGTCCTGCAAATCCAAAAACATGGCACCAGCAATTAGGCCATATGAAAATACAAACTTCTTTTCGTCTAGAAGTTTTAAGAAAGGGAGGTTTCCCATGTTTTCAAAATAGCAGATTTTCCATGATGATGGATAAGTTCTTTGTTGATATTTATTTCAAGGAGGTAAGCCCTACTTTCCTATCTGACTTAGAATCAAATTAAAAAAGTAAACTACATTGCAATTTATAAGAATTCTAAAATCTCAAAAAGCAAGAGGGGGGGGGAAAGGAATTTTAAGATCACAACAAACATTACTTGTACTTGGCCTTATTCTTGAACCCTTGCCAGATGCAATGAAATCCAACACAAATGAAACGAAAAATCGTCCGTTTCTAAAGAGCCTGTACTTGATCTTGTGATGGTTTGTTCAATAGTTAAACCGTTTACCTTAGAGGAGTTGGGAAAAGTTCGGCCGAGTAGATGTACACGATGGCAAAGGAAGCAGAAACGCAAAACTTGCCAATCATCGCGACAGCTGTCTGCCACGTCCCAGCGGCTGTGAGAGAAAAAAAAAGATCACAAATGCAAGTGTGTCCTGCAGTCCATTGAATAAAATTTTCACCGGTTAATGAAAGAGATGTATTCCCGAGTTGGAGACTCACGTATGAGTATTGTCCCCACACAGGCCACCCCTCCGATGACCATAGTAGATCCCAAATTCAATCTCCTTCCCAGTTTCTCGATGGCCACCATAGCTAGTATGTAGGCTGGTATCTCAATGGCGCCGGATATGAAAAAGGCGAGATAGTTGTCGGAAGCTAGATCAGGGATACTGAGGGACAGGCCATAGTATACCAAACTGTTGACACACCTGTAGACAAAACCCCAAATAAAAGTTACTGTACCTTCTTCAAACTTGAATGAACCAGCGTTTTGACTTCTCCCGTTTTGGGGGAAGAAGAGAACGAACTTTCCCATTGTGCTATGGGGCGTTTTTTTGTGACAGAATGAAACCTCGTTGATTTTCTTACCAATTGAACATGAGATTAGACGTCTTGAAGGCGATGTTTGGAGTTTTGAAGAGATCCAACGCGTTCGGCTTTCTTTCTGCCTCCAATTTTTCCTGTGAAGTATATTTTGATTGACCCGTTTATAATTGGAGAATGACATATAAGCACATGGTGGTAAACGCGCAATGATAATAATTGCCGAAAGAAAGTGGGTCGACGGTCTCTTCCTTAGCGTGGCATTCATGCATCGAAATATAGTACCAGTTCAGTCCCGCTTTCAATACATTTGTCCCCAGCTTATTTCCCCGAGAAATTAAAGATTAATTGACAAAGCACACACCTTCAATTCCTTGATTTCGTCCTCCTCAAATAGTACATCCGGAAGCTCTTTCTTGTTTACCTTGGCAACTTTTCTGATTATTTTCTCGGCTTGATTATGACGCCCCCTGTTTATCAGCCAGCGTGCCGACTCGGGGAAAATACTTCCAGCAGAACAGAAAAAGAGAGTCGTGTCAATTGTACTGTGTTTCGATCCCAAACATATTAATATCAACTTTGTGGGGGAAAAAGTAAAAACAATGCCATTTCAACAGTAAAGTGTGGATCTGTTCTCGAGCATAAAACTGACGTGGAACTTTGCAAAGTTTAGCACCCCCCACCCAACCTAGCGCAAAGGACGATACATATTGTGGCGGCGACACCCGCCNTAAGTAGGGTTAGTCTCCATTCCAGACACTCACGGGATATAGAGGAAGAAGAGAAGTATTGGAGCAGTGATGACAAGCTCCAGGGTGCGCCACTGACGGATGAAGTAGGCAAGACCAGCCAGAATCATGAGGCCAGCAGAGAAGAAGATTTGACCCACGATACCGACGATGACTCGCTTGGAGGGGCCTACAAACTCCGTACCTACAGATTGTGTGCACCAACACGCGCGTCAGGCGTTTAACATAACCAGTGAATCAAATTCATAGAAAGCGAAGTCAGTGCTATCGGTTCTGAAAGTCAGTGGATTACAAAGAAAATTGCGTATAGCTCCATGATAGATAGAGTGTGAATAATTATACTGGATAGCCAGCTCTTACGAACAATTTCATCGAATTTAAAACAATTTCAACTAAAGATGATGAATTAATACCGCTGTTTACCCAGAACATATGCAGGTAAGAAAGTGCCGTAACTGCCCGCTCCTCCCAAGGCGCGGAATATCGTGTAGGCCGCGAAGTTAGGCGAGAACGCTACCGCAATGGATGCAGCGAGCCACAAACACATGGCGATGTACATGGTCTTTGTGCGACCAATCCTTCAAAAAGAACAAATTAAAGTTTCCATTTTGACATCCATTCTTTTGTCGGTGTTTTAATTAACACATGAATTGCTTGCATTATTTGATATATATATTCTACTACAACTATTAAACTACAACTATTATTGCATTATTTTTCCATTTTCTAATTAGCGTGTAATTTTTTGTACCATCTTGTGTCTCGTTGAGCCGGTCCAGATATCTTCACTCTACAGGGTGTCCCAGAAAAAAAACCGAGGAAAGGGGTTAATATGGAGATCCTTATACATTATAATCATATCTCATGGTTTGGGCATATAAACCCCTTTCCTCAGGGTTTGTTTTATTTCTGGGACACCCTGTATAGTGACCCTTCAACTCACCAATCAGCGAGCGACCCAAAGACAACAGAGCCAAGTAGAATTCCCACGAAGAAAACGGACTGAGCCACATTAGAAAACGTCTTACGATCACATACCAATGTGAACTGGTTTAACAGAAACAAGCACGACAGACAGAATATTAGCAGAGTGGTCGGCCGGATTTTTACGCCAAACTTTAGGCGTTAATGTGCAAAATATGTTAAAAACAACTCCAAACTATCAACAACTACATGTATAGGACAACTATAAAATGGAAATGTGTGGTTAAGTGTTTATCGTATACTGGTCGTTTCAGATCGAAATTAACGTTGTTTGTACTGGTTAGTATACCGGTATGTGTTAGATAAGGAGCTTTTTACGGTTGTCACAGCTGTGTGGATTAAAATGTAAACGTTTCCCTCCAGATCTCTATTATATTAGCTGATTTGAAGGGACAAGGAAGATGTTCAGCCCATAACAAAAGGTATTATTACGTAACATTATACGAGGACGTTTACCATGATAATCAGGTATCTTGTTCACAGGTGCATCTCTGTGGATTTGGTTGACATTCCAAATCTGAACTATTTCCTTTGTAATGAAAGCTGTATAAAGCCAGAGTGCTGGCCGGTCGTAGAACAGATCGTCAAATTCGCGCGGCGGTTGAGAGCTAAAGCGAGTCGAGGATGGCAGGACTGGTCATCGTGATTTATCAGTCCACCTTAGAGTGGGGATGTTGTCAAGCCAAGTAAAATAAAGAGAACCAACCTTGACTGAGCAGTCAAGACAACGATGCCGAGGTACATTTTTTACGCCGGCCTATTAAGATTTGTTTTTGACCAGCTAGGATGGTGGCTGACCAGGAAAATAAAAGAAAACTTATCTTAGATAGTGTGAATACATTGGCAGGCATTTTCATGTAAGCCTCTAGGTGTGCTATGGCATCGTCAAATCCCTATCCATTACTTCGAATTTTGGAAGGGAAAGGATATCCGATGTTGTAGTCGAGTTCGTCATAAAATCCGTTCACAGGTCATTTCACAAGTTATTTCACAAGTTCTTGCGGTAATGTACTAATGACTGCTGCAAAACCTTTGTCGCAGTTGTAACTTGCGACTCGGGTTACGACAACTTTTGATGGACTGGACTCCAACAAGTCAAGATATTAAATTGGGTTTAACTTGCATCCATTCTGATGGTAGATTCATACTGGCTGGTGTCATAAACCCACCCATCCATGCATTCCTCTGTGGTGAAGTTACTGGTGTCAAGCCCCGGGTAGAACATCACCCCAGTCACGTTGTACCGCCCGCATTGCTTGAACTCCCCGCGCTCGTCTCTCGGGATGGACGCGTTCTTCTTGGCCAGCTGGCATTCCGTCGTCGTCAAGTTCCAACCCATGCAGTCCTGGTCTTCCCACTCGGGCTCGGCGCACCAGTGGTCCGTTCCTGCCCCGAGAAAGACCTGGGCTAGCTTGTGAAAAGCGCCCGGTACACTCAGCAGACAAATCAGAAAGAAGATCCGCCTCTGGTAGGGCCCAAAGTCTCCAAGGAGTGCTAGAATCTGATCGAATTGCATCCTGATGGCAAGCTCTTCCTGTGACTGGAACAACTGTTGTTGGATAGAACTGTAGTGTAAAACCAACACCGACTCCCCAGATCTGAGGCAAGTTCGAGCGACGAGCATTGGCCACCTGCCACTAGTTTGTCCACTTTGCCTGCGGTCTCCGGGTGATATGCTATGATCAGGTTACCAGGGAAAATTGACCAGCAGTCAATAAATGGACCTTGGTCGAACTTGTCCTCGGAGCTCAGTCCAGCGGGTCACTTGCGTATTTACCAATCATACGAGTTGACTGGAGGCAGCCAGGTCCCAAACAGTGACCACACTTACTTACATTTAAAGAAAGAGAGAAATCTATTCTTCGTTGTAATCAAAGTTCAGTCTTTTATGGCAGAGGGTTGCCACTGGGGACATCAGACCATAACCATTCCAGCTTGCTGCGGCAATTTCTTTTTTGTAATGCCAGTGTGCCACAACCCATTTTTCCCAGAGGGCACTCAGTGGTTTAGAAGCAATCAACTCGGATCCATCCTGTCCTTAAATTCTGAGCGAGGTCAAAGGCACAAATTGAAGAACGAGCCGGGATACTGCGGTGGGACTGGGCCTTAGCATCGCTGAAAGCTTGGAGCAAACCACTGTGACAGTTTTTCCTGATTTTTTTTCGTTGTTCCACACCGTGGTAATGCACTGTGCATTATTTACTTGGTAGTCATAAGTCATAATAGACCAAGGGAAATTAGGAATTAATCATTGTGGAAGATTACTGTTGCGACTTTATCTAAATGTTAATTTGCATGCAGAGCAACTTAAAACGGCAGAGATGTGGGCTCAAGGATTTCACGGTTTACGTTAAAAAATGCCAGCACTAAAGGCAAGTTCTTGGTGACGCAAAGGAATATAATTTTTGTCCATAATCAGCAACTGCTTCGCAAGGGGGCGCTATACCAATCCGGCAAGTAGTGTCTGGTATCCAAACTCCTTTGCAGCAAGTATTACCTCGGAATCAGTGGTCAGAACCACACGTTTGTTCTCTCCAGCCCCCCAAAATTAATAAACATCGCGCTTTTCCGGAGTTCGGATTAATTTGAACAAATTTTGCCTTCGAGTCCCATTTAAGGTGCAGCCGTCGAGCCGTACGGAAGCACGATAGGCCTGGAAGTGAAACAGTGATAATATCGGTCAAGTTAGCTTTTCTTTTCTTGTTGTAAGCGGGAACAATGGAGCTGGAACACGAAACGGCCGAGTTGCTCTACAAGATGGAGCGTATCAAAGAAATACGGTAAGAATTCTGTCACTTTCATTTCGTTTGGAAAAGAAAGCTGCATTTAGATCTGTTTGATTCTTAGCGTTGTCTTTAATAAGGATTATGGTGCAGTTGCACTGCAGCTGGCCCGCTGGAGATGATGGGATTGAGAATGGGAAATAAATCAGAACTTGACGTTGAATTGAAATTGTACTCAAAACAGGGATCTGTTTGCAGGGCTTAATGCTGGTGCCTTGAAGCTTTTTGTGTTATATTAATTTAATTCAAGTGATTTCACAAAAGGTTTACTTGAGCCATTCGTCGTGGTACAAAGCCATTGCCCTGGTCTGCCTTAATGCATAACTTCATATTCCCCATTTTTACAAGTTTTTTGTCTTGCGAGCAGAACATGTACATGTAGGCCTATCCATGTACAGTAGGCCTAGATGGAAATGTGATTGTGGATCATATGATCTTTTTTTCTCCATTTTTTAAAAATTACAGACAGTGAATTGTGTAGAAAAAAGAACAATGTTGGCTCATATGTTGTATAAGCCTACGATACAAAGTGATTCTCTCTTGAAATTTTCACAGAATGATTTATCAGGTCTGGGACCAAACCACAAACTAGCAACGACACCAGACTATGCATACGCAGCTCGTTTGTGCAACGATGATGTAATTTTTGAACTCTTTTTAGACCACGGTTCGCAGAAAACATCGATCTCTTTACCGGCCAGAAACTTCAAAACAAATTCCTCTGATTGATTAAATTTACAGGAAACATGCTACCCAAGATCAAAATGAAACTTTCCTTTCATTTGTTTTCTGTAAAAAAGGATCAAGGAGATTTTTCGGTCAAATCTTGCACTAGATATGTCAAATTCGGTGGGCAGGCACTGCCGATGAAAACGTTTACGCAAAAAAAATGAAGCTTTGCGGAAGTTTACTTCATGCATGAAAATGTCGCCATTAAAAATCTCCATCGACTCACCGTAGCAATTTTTATGTTTACCGTGGCAATTTTTCAAAATAACGATCAGAAATAATTTTGCTGTAGACTCCAACAGCAATGGCAACAGCAGCCATGTTGGCTCCTGGCATTTCAAATCTTGTTATTCTGCCAAAATCTTGCAGGAAAATGGCATCATTATGGTGACCTGATAAAAATGACGTCATTGCCGCTTGAACTAGCGACATAAGCAGAAACTAGGGACGTCGCTAGATTGTAGTTTGGTGCCCGACCTGTTTATAGCCATTAATTTGTCATTCTATGAGATACATTGTGACAAATAAGTGGTACTACGAACACAGATACGTGCACACATATCCGTGTTTGTAGTTACTGTTATATGTTGCAGTGAAACATCATCGTAACATCATGTTTCCACTTATCAATAACTTTAGTGATTGCTAGTCAATACATTTATGAACCAGTTCAAAATTTCAAAACGCTAAGGTCTTTCAGAAACAAAGTCCACATGTAGGTCAGCGTATGGCTGCAGCAATAGGACAGACTATCGAACATGCACGTAGCTGTTCCCCGAATAGCCTCATACTGGGCATGTGCTGTTGGACTATCGAATTGGCTCATTAAATTAAAAATTAATAATAATTGCTTTAGGATTACACCTTTTTTGTTTTAGAATAAGGTTAGTTTTCAGTCATCAAAATTGGTTCCATGTACAGATGTTTTAATATTACGTTATTTATTTTGAGCAGAGATATTGTCTCACACTTACCAAATTTTAATCCATTTCTGTTGTGTCTGTTTTGGGCTTTTAAGTCAAGTAAAAATCACTTTAATGTGAACTCATGCATGCATCAATTGACAACTTGCCCAATTGATTTCAAACCTCCATGTACGTACTCCCAGATCATATGCAAGCTAATCACCTCCAGTTTCTTTACAGCATTGCCATGGTCATGGCAGCCTCAATCACTTGTAAGTTTTATGTTTTCACTTGCGTGAATGTGCCAGTCAGCATTACAGTGAACTGAGAAATGCTGCATTCCACAGGGGTGGATCCAGACAAAGACACAGCCAGTCTGCCCTGCACCCCCACCCCCTTTTACACATATGAGCTGTGCTTTCTGGCCACTTAATTTCGGAATAAGACAGAAATCTTTTGGCTTCCTCTCACCCTACTCAAACAACTCTGGTGGATTCATAAAATCCCATTGTAAAGATGATTTCTTGATTGACATGGTAGAACTTATCTTTACCATGTCTGTTGATAATGTACATTTGGTAGAATGTGATTGATCTATTTGAGCATCATTCAAGTCCCTTGCACTACCTGTAGGCTGCTGGAAGATTGAACAAATGGTCTGATTCAGCAAGCCAGCAACAAGGCCCAGATGCAGGGTCAAAGGCCAAGGAGTAAAAATTATGATTTTAATCAGAATTTTTAAATGAAAAAAAAGTTTAATTCTGTGTCTAAAAGTAAAGGAATAGTTACCCACGTGATAGGTTGTTAACTTACATGCACCTGAATGAGTTACATTGACCATTTATTAAAAAAAAGAAAATTGAAAGAGGAGCTTGTTAGCATGGAAAAAGGAAGTAGGCTTTGGAATGACAAATTACAGTCATTTGCAAAAGTTTAAGACCACCTTGAATTTTATTGGTATTTCTGTCAAAGGGCCTGCTTTACATTGTTTCACTGAATGCTTACTTAACATGATTTTACAGTGGTGCATAACATTTGTGTGGTGCTGTACGATTTGCATGAAAATGTTGACAAAGGCAGGACTTGTATGACATTTTGTCTGTGAGGCAGCATGGGTATAAAAAGCCAGTCTAAGTAATCAGAAATAAAGGAGGGCACACTAAGTGTTAGACTGTTAACATTTCAAATCATGGAAATGTTGTCAAATACCTGTAGCTGCTTGACCAAGATACTAAGGTTACACATTGAAAATAAACAGAAGTTTCCATGATTATTTGGTTTAAGTTTGGTTTTTCTTCAGGTTAATGCATTTGTATGGGTGGTCCTAAACTTTTGCAGATGACTGTAGAAAGTTGGCAAGTGGCCCACCAAAATGCCATTTGAGGTGCATTGTACTGCTTGTAACTGTAAAGAGAGGAAGTTGCTAAGCAAGATTTCCTGGCTAGCATTTCCTTGGGATTAGGTGCAGTTGCTCGCCTTCGTGATGGGCGGATTAGTTCAGTTAGAGGGGAGAAACACAGCCAACATGCTCTGGGAAGAAAAATTCTCCCAAATCCCACCCAACAGTGTGAAATTTGTGAAAGCCTGGAGGAAACTCATGTATAAAAAAGAAGGTTGAGAGGGGGGGGGTATTGCCTGCTGTCTGCCTCACTCTTAAAGGAGGATAAACCTCTTCTTTGAACAAATGGGTAGGCGTGGCCGACAACGAGAGGTGACTTGCGCATGTTCACACATATTTGTTCTTCCATAGTTTAGAGGACATATTAATGTCCCCACAATGCGGTCCTAATTTGCCAAACCAAAGAAATTGTCCCCTTAAGGCGGTGCAGGCTCGCCCACATGTATGGCTGTTCAAGGTCTTGAAATCTACGCACATGGACACATTATGGCGGCAAGTAGAACAACAGTATAGTTAGTTACCTTCTCTCAAGACGTTCCTCTGCCATGTTTCACCAACTTGAAGGAATTCTTATATCAATCTGCATGCTCTGTTCAAGTTGTTCCTCCAGGGACATTGCAAGTTCTCCTGCACCTGCGCACCAGCCCTGCCCATGGATGAGTGCTTTATTCACCACACCCATTTGCACTGAGGGCTACCTAAGGTGGGCCACCTCGCAGTTGAATAGGCAGGGGAAACCCTGGGTTAGACTGTGCAAATATTTCCCCCCCCCCTCGCTGAGGCGTTGGATAGGTGGGATGGTGGGGAAGGGGGACTTTTAGTCGCACCTTCATACTTCTACAATTGAAGATCAAGGAGCAAGGTGGTGAACCCTAACGTTTGGCTGTGGCAATCATTTTGTGTTACCTAGCCAAGATCACTTTCTTGTTTGTTCTTTTCACAGGGTATAATTCTAAAACTAAAATACAGTTGTAATATGTTCCATATATTTCACCAGCAAATTAGTTTACTCCAAGACGATTGTAGATAAATTCCAGTCTACATTCAGCAAGTAAAAGAAAACTATCCACAAGTCCCAAGCTACCTTACCCGACTCACTGTCTGTCCCAGTGGGAAACTTTTTGTTTCTCGGGAAAATTAGCGTCCAAATGTAAAACCTGCAAATTGCACTCTAGATCAAATTGCGGACTCCGATACGTTATCTGCCAAACGGGAGGCCCCCTGGCTACAACATCAGAGTTTGTTTGCACGAGTAACGATCCTTCTGGTCCACACAGTCCTCTCTAGGAAAAGAAAAAGTGCGGTCGTTGTTGTCAGAGCAGTTTTTTAATCTTCAGTTAGACGAGCTTGTCTATTTGCAAATCGAGCGCATGCCCCTCGGACTCGGCCCCGGAATTGGCCAGACTCGTTATACACAGGGCCGATGTTAATTGAAGCCGGTATCATTTACAGCATTTACGCACAAGGTGAAAGTGTTAATGTCTCCCTCAGGCCTCCCCCGAGGGGGGTGTGGCTTGATGTAAGGAGCGGGGAACAATAACCAGTTTTGGAAATCTTGAATTCGTTTTTTCCGTAGTTTCCCACCTGGGAGTTTTCCCAAAGGAAACTCGGACCATCATGAAAATGTTTGCGTCTGCAGCAAGTCTGTCAGGATAATTTTGGCATGCATTGTAAGCATAGATTTAATTTATTTGTCATGCTTTATATTTAAAAGTAATCAGGTTGTTGCAATTGAATTAAATGTTGTTAAATTTTGATCTCAATTAAAATTAAACTCTCAATTCCATTTACAATGCATCCTGTATTTGTACATGAAATAAATCAAGTCATGCCTTTGAAGAAGCATGAGTAAAAAGATTCTATGCTAGAATTTTTGGTATTTGTAAATACCATGCAAAGCTATGTTGGGACGCTAAACAATGAAACACAGTTTATTGCAACTGTTTTTTTAAATGGGCATGTTTATTTTCCAAGAAGGATAACCAGAAAAGTTGTTGGGAAATTGAAAGAATTGGAATTCAGCTGAAATGAAATAATCTCTTTCAGTAAATCTTAGTAATGTCAAGAATGTTATGTGAATGAATAATTTCAAAGTTTAAATGTCTGTGCTAGAGTTTCCCAGTTACATGTACATGAATTTTCCGACCAAGTTTGTCTCTTTTATAGATTAAAATACTTGTACGTGTCTGAATGTGAGGCTTGGATTCCCTTCAAACGACACAGTATGCTCAACACTGGCTTATTAAAAAGCAGTTTTTCAACTGTGAGCAGATTATTTCCAAGCGACCTACGTCACCACCGCCTCTCATCAATTACAATCTTGTTACGGCCAAGTGTCCAGTTTCCCACAATTGCCGAGACCTCGGCACTGCCTCCTTGAACAAACATCGCAAACAATAATCGCCCTTTTTCCCCGAGCATCGATCGCCGCATTTTGCACCCAGACAGCCCGGCAAATCAAGAGTAAACAACCCTGTTTTTTTTTTCTATCTGTGGCATTTTTCCCTCTCTTTATTTTGTTCTCAGGCCCGTTAGGTAAACAGTCTCACAGTTGCACAGTATCAGTTCTGTTGTGTGCAAACAGTAGAGGGGTTGTGTTAAGTGGGGACACAGGTGTTGAAGTTGTGGAAAGGCTAATTCAGTTCATGCTTGAGTAGTTAACTCGATATATCTCAGCCAAGGAAAACTTGCTGAAATCCCCCTTTATATTTTTCTGGCTTGTGTAATAAATGGCTTTTGGCCATGCCCCGAGTCGAACATTTGGCTCTGTTGTCCGCTCACTGCATCCTCTCAAATAAATTGCGTTAATTAATCTCGGCGGTTTGGGATTTGCCAGCCCGAAATGTCAGCCTTTTGTTCACCGAGTGCCGGCAGCAATCTTTGTCCTTGGGGAAATGTAGGCTTTCGTCGGAGCTGTTTCTTTGTGCTTTGAGTTGAATGTGTTGAGTCTTAATACCCACATCTAATAATTAACTTTTGGACCTTGAAAGTTCACGTCCAGTGCAAGGCTATGTTAAATTTGCACTTGATCTCAGTACATTTCATATCTAGACACTTCGGTACACCAATCTGTTTGAGCTTCACCTAGTTTCTTATCATTTTCGACTCTGAGTATTACAGGTTTGGATTTTTGTTATCCCTACTTGAGTGCAAGGAGAGTATAACTCCAAGGGCAATAAACATTAGCATTCTACATGCATGCTCTTGTTGCCAGCAGAGTAATGGGATTTTTAATTAAATTGCCCTACCAAGTTGCGGCGTGGCACTGTATTTTCATTGCTCCACTCCGTATTGATTTATTGGTCATGCTGTTGTATCAAGTTTAAAAGTATGTATTATTAGCTCCAAAGTGATGAAATTTGGACTGGTCGGTCAACAGTTGTCCAGAATGGCTAAAGTGCAATCAAATTGTGGGCTGTTCTAATGCTGCTGGATAGATTAAGACAGCTTCAGCATTAATAATTTGCTTGTTTTGATTGATAATGGCGTTTTGCCTCCCACAGTGTTTTTTTTATTAGCTCTAACCCTGTTAGATACTATCCCAGTCCATGGGATTCTTCAGATTTTGTAGGATTGAGGAAGAAAGAGCCTAGCCATTGTTACTTTATGTGGGACTTGATACCCCATTGAAACGTGAAGTGCTAAGAATGTGTGATTGGTTTCCTCCTTAGTGGTGGAGTCTTGAGGCTCTGCTCCAGAAACCTTTTGCATTTAAACTGCCTGCCATCAATGTTAGCATCTTTTGAAATATGTGTGTGTTTTTTGGGGGGGTCTATTTTCTCGGTGTCAGGTCGAAAGCAGTCCAGCTGGAGAAGCTGAAGGCCCGCCTCCTGCAGGAAGTGGAGGAGACCGAGAGCGAGGAGGAGAGGATGAAGGAATACCGCAATGAAATGGATCTGCTGAATCAGGAGAAGATGGCACACGTGGAAGAACTGAGGCAGATTCATGCTGATATCAATGCTGTAAGGATGGGGGCGTGGCTTGGTTGTTAATGGGGGGGGGGAAACTACCGTAGGTGGGTTTTAAATAATAGTAGAATAGTTGCTTGATTGTATCCGTCTCTAGCAGAAGCTCCTTCTTATCGGTTGAACAGTTGGTTGGGAGTGTTCATTTTGTTGGTAGTGATGCGATCAGGATGCGTGCATTTCCTCGTTGTTCGCGAACCAGCGAAGTTCAGTTCTGACCAAAGGAACCTCCATTGCTTAGAAAATATTGCCCTCTCTTGGTCCGGCTCGAGGCCCGTTATTGCCTGAAAGTTGCAATGTGCTGACTCTTATAAATAATGTAGTTTGGATTTTTTTTATTTGTCGGACATATGGTTTACTTCAGGTAGGAAATCCCTAAAGTAATGTATCTTTGAAATTTGTAAAATTTCAGAGTTTCTTATCGTTCTTCAAGAGATTCTGGTGAAGGGAAGATTTCAGTTGTTACTTTCTTCAGCCTAATTTAGCCCAACCAAATGTGGTACTGATTCCCAGCTCTGCCAATATTCCTGTCATCTACTGATGAAATTGCCTTCCAGCAAGGTCTCACTGTTTAGGCATCCCCTGGAGTCAACAAGTCAAACCAGAGTGAAACCCCTTGTCAGATTTCCCCAAGGCTAACCTTTTTACTTCTCCAAGAACAAGATTTCTTTTACGACTTTTTCTCACTGTTTTCTTGCAAAGTCTGTTACAGAACCTTTGTTATTTTCTGATGAGAAGAGCCAATGACCTGTTGCTGCAATTGGTATACAGCACAAGCTGGTATTGAAACCGTAGTTACAATGGTGCCTTGTTTGTAGGCTTTGGACTGATCAAGATTGATACATTCCGGGTCACATCCCTTTTGTTGAGGCATTCCATTTCCCCTTTGCCTAATAGTGACAGGTTTTGTTCAGTATTACTCAAAGATTTGATAAGTTGTATATTATGAGGAGGTCAATTTTTACCCTTCATTCCAGATCCTATCATCTGTTTCAGTCCATTTGCCCTCCTTTTTTTCTCCCTAGAAATTTATATGCTCTCAGCTGGATTGTGACATTTATAAAAGTCAAGGAGGCCTTTGTGCGCTTGACTCACAGCTGTGGTATTCCACTTGATACTTTTGCCAATAGTCTGTGTTTATGTGTCGGCCATCTTAATCTAAAGCAAGGTTATTTTTTTCATTTTGGGAAATTAAAGGTAAAAATAACAGAAGCAAAATAATAGTTCATAAAATGTTATGCCAGTTTGTAGTTAAGAGTAATTTGAAATTTGTGATAAATTATATCTAAATGTTATTGGCAAACTTTAAAAAACTGAAAGTGATGCTTGGAAACCCAAATAGTCTGGCACCATCTCATTAACAGATTACGTTACATATAAAGGATTCAGGAACAGGATTGAAAACGGCTTCCCTGTGAATAAGGTATATTGCCATCCATTTTTTTTGTTCTCCAGATTGAGAACGTGGTGAAACACGCTGAGCAGGACAGGAACCGGTCATTTGAGTCAGCTTGCCAGGCTTACGAGGAATACATGAGCTTGAAGGGGGAGATAGACGCCATGAGGAATGCCATCGGACTGGATACACTACCCAGTCTGAACCAAGATGACGGGAGGCTCACCCCAAGGTAAGCAACGCTGGCCGCTGCGCCATGACAGCCTGCAGAAGGGCAAAACGGAGCTCCTTGCTCTGATGTATCCTTCAGTTTGGCAACCTGAAATGGACGTTATGTCGATGAAAAAACATTCAGGGTTCCTTTTAATTTAATGCAATGCACAAGATTCCTTTGAATGTCTTTAACTCAAAAATAGTTAGTGACTCGCAACTCCTTTGTAATAAGTTGAGTCATAATTCTTAAAATGTTCATCTCGTAGGCTATGTTGTGATTTGCTGTTTGACTTTTCCATCCTTGGAGATGAAAGTTTACCTTTCATTTCTGATTGAGTGTTAGGCAAATAATTGTTTGAACTTCTGTTCTTGCCAAAGTTATTTCCGGAAGAGGAAGTCGGAGTGGCAGAAGGAGGAGCAGGCAGACGCGCCCCTTCCCACACCCCTCACCATCCCCGCAACCACCAGTCCGACGTTCCAGCTGCCGTCGACGAGCCACAGTGAGGAAAGGCCTCCTTTCCGACAACAGCCCCCACCCATGAAGGTATGAGTCTAGCCCCCCCCTCCTTAGATGATTGTTTTGGAACAACTTCCCAAGGCAATGCAAAGGGAAAGAGAAGCAAAGTGCTCAATGATTGTTTTGCCAACCGCTTGTTTTTATCATTTTAAGGGAGTAGATTTTTTCTGCTTGTTCACGGGTTTTTTTTCAACAGATCCTCAAGAGTATTGATTGACTAAATTGACCAAAATTGATTGACCACTGAAACATATCAACTTTCATTGCATCTTCTCCCCCAGAATTGCCTGTCTTGCCATCAACAGATTCATCGCAATGCACCCATCTGCCCCCTCTGCAAGGCCAAGAGTCGCTCTCGTAACCCCAAGAAACCAAAACGGAAGCAGGTCGCCAGTTAGACCACTGAGCAATCCAGCTATCAACCCAAAGGATAGTTCAGAGAGTGGGTAGATTGTCTCACACCTTGCACTCAGACTTTGGCATCAAAGCCAGTCTGCTGTCACTCAGCAATCGTGAAGTTTTCAGATGTGGCAGTTTCTGTGGAAGAAACACAATGTTGGCAAATCTCAGCACAGTCAGCAAACTCATGAGATTTGTTCATTTCACATTAAATCCTTTACAAGATTGATCATTGCACTGCCTACATTATTCTGTATTATATTGACCATTCTACACTAAGATGTGTAATCATTGATAGGCTAAACTACTTATTTTAATTCCGTTTGAAAAGTGTTTTACTTGTGCAATATTACAATGCATGTGATGTAGGGCTAGTCTCTTTGTGTCTGATGTATAAATTATTGATGTCCTTGTTAGTTTCTATGTATATTCGTCATTGAATTTAAGACTTTGACAAATATTACCTTTGGGAAAGTAAGGTTAGTATTAAACTGGTTTTGTTAATTTGTTGACATCAAATACATTGTATAAATTCCACAAAAAAAAAGAATAGATGACAATTATTCTATCCACATTTATGTTCGATCAAATATAACTGAAATTGCTTTGAAGTGCTGACTTGACTTTTCATCTCTTAATGTCTGTCTTCAGTAATTTCTTTTTCTTTGTTCTTTCTTTTACGTAATTTTTTAACCCAAGCCATTAGAAGAGAACACCGAAGTTTTAGCTGCAACACCTTGAATTCAGAGAACTAATGATATTGTAATTAAAGTTGAAATACATGTATTGTTTTAAAGATGTTATAAATGTCAGCAAAATTGCAGAAGTCTTAAAAATGAAAGTCAACTTTAAGTGGGCACTAAAATGTATATTTGTGTATAATAGTTAATTGGGTTCGTTGATTTTTTTTAGAACTTGCGATCACAAAAATTTTGTAGAGCATATTTTTTTTGTGTAGTACAAATCTGTCATTTGCACCTGACCTGAATAGCATGTAATTCTGACACAGGTGATTTCTGCGTGTCACTGAAATTGATGTTTTCATTTTCCATTGTGGAACTTGGAGTAATTTGAATTGGACCTCAAACTTTTTGGCTCGGGGAGCCGTCGACGCCAACAGAGGGGCGCTATTGCTGGGAACAGCATGCGCCTCGTCTGGATAGAAATGTGACCTCGGTTTTTTTTTGGGGGGGGCATAGTTTCCCGATTTTGCTCGGTGCAATTGTTTGAGCAATAAATCAGCATGGCCTGTAAATGGATATCTTATCTTGAGTTGACACCTGCAGTCTTGTACCATGCTGTCTTTGGCTCGAGAACGCACTGTCTTTATCGACGTCACCAACACCTGTCTGGACTTTGCTCTGCTGTTAAGGCCAAAGCTTTCAATTCCCGTTCTATAAGCTTATCGCATCATTGACCAAGCCTTCGGTACTGACAGATGCTCTTGATAGCTTCCCAACCAATAAATTTTGTCGTTTTCCTCACTTGAATTATGCCCTTGTTGTGGGCGGATATTTCTTGTCACGGGGAGACGATTTCTAAAAGCCGAGCACGGCCTCCATCCTAGGTGAGATCGTGTCGCTGGGAAGTGGTGCAGGCTAAGGGTGCGCATAACCAATGACTTAAAAGGGGGATATTGTTATATTAGTGGGAGGGGGAGATAGTCCCCACCCCCGGGATCTCCACTCATGGCCTTTGTCACGTCAACAGACATCTCTTGAAATTCTAATAAATTCTGTTCCATACCACCCACGGCCCTTCATAATCTTCCGGGGGTGGGTAGGTCGTAGACGTATTATGTGAGTGGTGACCCTAACCACATCAATGCCCTCTAAGTTATTGACAATTATATGAGCACATTTTTAGATTACAATATAAAACAGATAACAGTGTAAAATAAATTAGCTGATGAGATGAACACCTGTGAAACGCAAGAACTAACCGAAACGATACAGGTTGTCTCGCTTACGTTCGTTATTTCCACCCATCGTGTCAGTCAAGTTCAACTGTTTCAGGCATCATGAATAAGATCGTCCCAACGCTCCTACTGAAGGCGTTTCTGGTCACCTCGTCTCTAGCCTACTACGGCACCCCACCCACCACAGACTCCACCTGCCCAGTCTTCTTTACCGGATTTGGCGACTCCTGTTACCGTTTCTTCGGCGACGCTCTCCCGTGGCGCGAAGCCGAGGCCCGGTGCCAGCGCTATTTCTCGCCTGTGGGGACTCAAGGTCATCTTGCGTCCATTCACAGCTACGCTGAGAATGCCTTCGTCTACGAGCTCTGGAGGAGTTCTAAGATTGTGCCGTCTGACATGATCAGCAACTACAACAGGTTATCCTCTTTTCTGTCAACTTGTACTTTGATCTGTTCCTTGCTCTGTGATGTATAATATTCCTTCCGAATCCTACACCAGAATGGCGTATTTGTGGCTTTTTGGTTTTTCTCCCAGTTTCAGTGCCACTTAATACATTTTTGGTTGTTGGAAAGTCCGAAAATTCTGAACAATCTGCCTTAATATTTCTCTCACTACGAAAAGGTGGAGGGATGATGCAATAGCCCACCCCAAAGGTGGGCATTCTTACACCCCAGGAATTCAGGCCCGGGAGCAATACAGTGGGGATGGTGCATGACACGCTCGTCAACAGTTATAAGCTTTCTTATTAGAGTGTCCCAATTCAGAAATCACAGAAGAAACCATCAGGGTAGCTTTATATTTGTTTATACTTCAAGTACTGACGAGACATGCCCCTCCAATTTTAAACTCACTGCAGTGCATTTTTCTCATTAATGGAAAAAAAACCGTCAGCAATTCTAAATGCACTTTAATCATCTTGTGTTGTCTTATTGCTTGTTCCTATGGTCAAGATTTGACTCAGTCTGGATCGGCATGAACGATCTTGAGGTTGAGGGTAACTATCGCTGGAGCGACGGGAGTGCTGTCAAGTACAGGAAATGGGCCGACGCGGAGCCCAACGACACCATCGCCAAGGACGACTGCGTGCACATGATGGACATCCTCGGACGAGGCGTCCCAGGGGAGTGGAACGATATCGACTGTAACCATGACAACGGCCTGCCATTCATCTGCAAGCTTAAGTTGACAAAATATTAGCGACTATGACATGGTTGTGACAAATGTTTGACTGAGGCGATCTAAGATAAAAAACCTGGTGAATTGAAGCTTCTAAACAAAATGCCATATTCCAGCGAGAGTTGGTATTTTCATTTTCAGCTCTAATTAGAATACCCTTGATAATGCCTGTCACATAATGTCATCGTCATCAACCGGGTGTGTATGACTTTAAAGGAGGGGCGTGGCCATAATTTTTAAGAATGTCTACATAGATACTCAACTGCAGAATCAATTAAGAAAAACCGTACTTTTTGTCAAATATGATCTTTGAACTTAAAGGATTTGAACAATTTTCTTGTATAATTACTAACCATCTTTTAATTTATAAATCTAAGTACCGTTTGCATTTTTGACACATTAAATATTTTTTATTCATTCATTCTCCCATCTGTAAGTTCTAGACAGTTCCATTCATTTCTTCAGGAAAAAGAAACTAAATATTGAAATTAACCGATTTGATGTATGTGTGTGATGTGAAAGAAAAAACTGTGTGAAGTTTTGTTGCGCGGCTCCACGGTCTAGTGTAAGTTGCTCCCATCCCATTGAGCCACATACCTACCTGTTGAAAATTCTCCGCCGCGCGGAGACGCTTAAAAGTACCCCTACGGTTTCTTTCTAAGAGAGGAGTCTGCGTGGGTCAAGCAATTGTGGGATTGTGTAAGTATAGCCCAGGATCAAGTCTCTGTATTCAAGGGCTCCCATCCGGCGCAAAACAGAACAAACTGTTATTGAAAATTTGTCAGAAGAGCCCGGCTCAGAAAGTCGAGGGATATCATATGAGAAATGGATCCTGAGAGGACTTGGGAACGTTCACTTTTTGAGGGGTGAGTTTGTTTTTGGCGGATAATTAAAAAGTGAATTGGTTAACCTACTACAATTTGAAAATCGAATGAAATCTGAAGGACCAAACAGCACACTGTTTTCCGTTTGAGAGGCCTCAGGGACTTCGGTTGGTTGCCTGCCATGGGGCTCCGAACTACTTGAATTGCACTCCCAGGCCTCGTTTTTAGGCGTTCACCTCGTGGTGGCGCGCTTTCACCTTGCATTGCATACTATTTCATTGATTTGCAGGAGAGTACGAGTCGTTGATACATTGACACGCATGACACGGTTGAAGAACTTGAAGTACGTAAGAAAAGGGGATTTTTTCTTGTCGTCCTCTGAGATGATGTTTCTAAGGTGAGAAATTGCCATAATTTGCCAGGCTGACTTAAGTGGAACATTTTGATTGTCTAGAGGGAAATATACAGCTGTGGTGATTGTTCATGTTGCCAGTCATGAGTCATGTCTGACTATATTTTGTTTTCCATCACGGTCATGACGGTTAAAAATCAAGTTGGATCGAAGTCCAATAACATGTCCAAACTTCAGGAAAACCCCGGCTAGGCTTACAATGCTAATTCGCGCATTAATATTAAAAGCCTCATTTCTTCAACCACTACCCAACTTCCAAGCTAATCGTGGATGGTGTTTGGGAAGTCAGTTTCTGAAGTAGTTTGCCTAGTTTAGTTACACATGTTGAGCCAGATAATTTGATATTTTTCAGTGGTTATAGAATCACAAAATGCTTTTATAAATTTAAATTGCCCTAGGCCGACGTCATATACACTTAACAAGTTTTTTTGCTGTCTCCAGTTAGATTGAAATTTTCAAAATAATTATGCTGTTCTGTAAAAAAGGAAACAGTCACGCCCTTTGTCAGTGTGTGTTGGATTTTGTACATGTGCATCTTTCAAACATCGGGCTGTTAATTATAAACTGAATTGATTTTTTAATTGCAACCAGCAAATCTCTTAACTTTGGAGGCCTGTCAAGACTGAAAGCTTAAAATGAGCCATTCTAGGAGGCATGTTCTGTCGCCAGACATTCCAGACTACCAGGGCAAGAGGGCGTCTGTACCTTACGCACCCAGCAAAGAAGAGCTGGTAGAACTAAGACTTGGCAGGTATGCAAATGTGCCGATGTTGGGCACGATCGACCATTCTACATGATTGCCCAGTCACTCTGCACGATTGGTCGATTCTGTATGATATCTCAGACTTTTCTTCCCTTTTATGAGGAAACTTTTGTCACCTATGGCAGCATTATCTACAAATCATGTCATCGGATCGATCGTGCAAAGATCGACCGATCATGCAGATCGGCCATCAGTACCCAAAACCAACTCACATTGCCGGCTGTTCATACGGGCGACCAACCTTTGCTGACATATCACTCTTGGTTGGTGTCAAATTCTTCCTTGAAATGTACTTTGCCCAATAACCTTAAAAGAGGGCAACATTTTCATTAACTGTTCCGTTACAGTATTTGATTTTTTAAATATCCATTTATTATTTTATTTTACCAGTTATCTGAGAACTATTTTCCCTGGGGGTGTCGGATAAGGAGCAATGTTTGGTGCACTTGTCATTTTTGGGGGTTCTATTTGTGGTTTATTACTTTGCTTTTGTACTGAAAAAGTTGTTAATTTTTTATCAACAGACAACTGTCCACAAGCCAACCGAAGCTGCCAAGCAAAAGTTGTAGCTCAGTGGAAAGCTTGCTTCCAATTGACAGACCGCGCTCCAATAGTCTCATTCGCATTGCTGACGTCAAACGGTAACGCTATAAGTAATGACATGGTTCCAATCATATCAAGCCTGTCAAGTTGGTCAACTGTTTCTCTTTGAATTGGTATTTCTTGAATCAAGTTAATCAGCGGTTAATACCAGTGTCAAGTTTGTTTCTTCTTAGGAACCTGAGTGCCAGCAATCTTGCAGCTCTCTCGGACAGCAATCTGTCCATCAAGAAAGCCTTGCCCCAGCGCAGCTACGATGCTCCTAACTCCTCAGGTTCAGCGGCCAAACGCCTCTTTGTCCAACTAGTGAAGCGTTACTACTACCAGCTGACCGAGGGATGTGGGAACGAGGATTGCCTGAACAGGTTCTGCCGTTCTTGCAAAGGTGCTACTCCACTTGACCTAATTCCATCTTGACCCCCTCCCCTAGGCAGGCAAGCCTCCAGCACCTTTGCCATGTCTGTTCAAGTTGTAGGATTTTAATGTTTAACTCGATCAAAGACTGACCATCGTTTGCATTGTCGAGACTCGAAGCAGGCATAATTTCTTGCTGTCCCCCTAAACAAGAAGGCCACGGGGCTCGTTTGCATTTGAGAGAGTTCACGTGTAAAGCAGGTTGCTTGCTTAGACATCGGCACAGATTAAACTCAAAAGCTGTTTACATGCTTAGCAACTTTGGCTTATGGGGAAATGACATCAGACAATTTAAAAGCAAAAAGCGCTCATGTATCTGCTCCCACTGGAACAAAAGAGGACCTGTTTTATTGGTATTCACTGCATAGGCACGCATTAATAATGGAGATCAACGGTGCATTTGACGCGTAGCACGCTGAGTACTCGTGACATATTTATTTCTTAATGTATGGTCTTTGCGTACACGCAGAATGCGTGCATGAACCCACTTGGAAAACTTACTACCATCTGTCTTTCTTTTGCCGCTTGGGGGTGCGCTTCTACTCGGAGCTGATAGCAGTTTTATGTTTCACAATCATTTCTGGTGTCTCATTTTCTTGTATTAACATTCCTTGTGCATTGGTTGTTGCTTATTTTAGACGGCATGAGAGTGTACTGTGACGTCGCTGCTATCATCAGCATCAGACTTGCCTCAAGTCAAAGGTAACATGTCTCTTCATCTATTTATCATTTTGTTTATTTTCCAAGGTCCAGTCTCTGAGCCACTGAGTACTGACAAGATTGCTCAGCAAGAGCCAGTGACCAATGAAATCGTCATTCTTCTTTTACATTTGCCTAATGTCCTCTGTGCAGTTGTCCGTGAAATTGGGCTGTGAAGTTTTTCCGGAAAAATGAACAGCTAGGCTGCTGTTAATGGCTGCATTCTTTGGGTTTGTTTGCCGTCAGCATCTATTTTAGATTGAGATAACCTTTTGAATACTGTTTATTGATTCTCACTGAATTCCATCTTTGTGGTTATTGTGATAGTACTATCACGAAATGTCATTTCTTTTCCAGACATTACTTGTGTAAAGTTGACAGCTATGCAGACCGCCCCTTGCCTCAGGAAGTGTTCCAGCCCCCAAGCGGGGAAGCCAAGCCATTTCTCCACACTCTCTTCTCTACGACTCCCTTCAAGTCTCTCTTCACCGCCCAGCTCCCCAAGGCAGAACCCAAACGGAAGTTGTCCTCGTCTGTTGGAAACGGCCACCCGACGGATCAGAGCTCAAGACTTCCCATGCCGAGTGCAAGCGGGGGTTCAATGAACGCCAAGCCACCCACCGGAAAGAAAGGAACTAGTCCATTGAGATCTAAAGTCACAGGCAAAAAGGGCAAAGCCAAATCAGAGACAAGGCAGAGTGAAGCGAGAGATAACGGACAGAAGGGGAGATCTGATGACGTGGCCCTCCACAACTTGACTAGCAGCACTTCGGCAAACTTGTTGGTCGAAAGCCAAGGATTGCCGGCAGCTGCCGTTAGAGATGGCCTAAGTTTAGGCCAGTCAGGTAGTGCCCCCGATCTGGTTTTGGGGGCTTCGGGTGAATCGGATGCGACTCACTTGTTGTCCAACGAATTTGGCCCTGATGAGAACGCCTTAGTCTTTCACACCAGGTACATATCTAATTTCTCTCATTTTAAAGTCAATGTCTTCGAAGGTCATTGTTTTGGATAGTGCTGAATCATTCTCAAAAGTGATCATGAATATGCATATTATGGAAGAGCATCTCAAGGTCATTTTTCATATGTGTGGGAAATTCCCTAGTTTCCTTTTAAGCCATGTCCAAATCCAGTGGCTGGGGCTACCAGTACCACTCACTTCAATGGAAGAGGCTGTAGCCACTAGCCAGTGCCTTTCACATAGTAACGTGCTGTATACAGCCACAGCCGTAACGTTGAAACAAAGCCTCAGACCATAAGCTGTTCCCTAATAGATTCCCCCTCCCTTCTCCCCTCTGTGGCCCTGGTATCAGTGGTTGTTGATTTGTGCCCACTGGCTCAGACGTGCCAGCTAAATGGGTTTTGGTCAGCCACGACAGTAAGATACCTCAATGGTATCCTAGGATCTGCCGACAGACAGCTCAAGAGATTTTGGCTGTCTGTGCGATGGTCCTAGACATTGATGAAAACCAGCTAATGGTGCATTTGGGTTGCAGTCAATCTGTCACTCCAAGGTTCTTTAGTTAGCCCATCAAAGTGAAATTCCTCATTTGGAAACATTTACATCAGGAATATGGCATCTTGTAATTGAAGCAGGATCTTTCTTTAGATTAGAGCAAGTGAGGGAGTATTGTCCATTCATCATGGCCTTCTCTAAACAAATCCCACAGGACATGACTGTTGATTGGTTATTAGCTGTCAGGTGACTCTGTAGCTACCCCATGATTGGTCACAATCTGTAGATCAAGATGTGGATGAATAATTAATAGTAGGTATGATGCAGACAATTACTGTTTCTCGTCCAACCTGTTACCAGGTCAGGGAATACCCCCGCCGGTAGCTATGGCAACCTGAGCATGTCCTCGGCCGTGAGTTTCGGCAGCGGTCCACCAGACTCCTACCCTTCCATGAACAGCTCGCCGGCGCGCCTCCTCTCCTCCCAAGAAGCCCTAGACGAGACGGAGGATCTGAGACATTTTGAGCGGTCTCTGTCGCTGGAGATGTCTTGGGACGGAGTGGGAGAGTTCTCATTAACTCACTTGACATTGCCCATGCTTGAGGTAGGATTGTCAGGTTTTCCATTCGAAAATATGATACCAAATGGAAACTGAACCATAGATAAATCTTAGGTAGAGCATAGGAAGTTTGGGACAGTATAAAATTAAGGGACATGAGATACATACTTCACTTTTTAAAGTAAACACCGTTCTTTGCTTTGCTAATATTGTGACTGGTTTTGTTACAGGGAGCCATTGAGACGTACAAGAGCTCCGCCGATCCGTCATTTCTGATCAACACCATCAGGACTGTGTTTACCTCACCAGAGGCACTCAACGCAAGCTTCAGGGTCAGTTCAGAGTCTTCTAGGACGCCCATTCACATCCAAAAATCTGTCGTATCCCAATTGTCATTTTTTTTCCCACCTAATCAACATTGCGACACCATGCCCTATGTGAAAGTATGGCCGTGTCCAAAATGGGCTTCCGGGCTGTGTCTGCTGTCAACATGTGACAAAGCATTTGCAACTGGCAAAGACCTAGCCCCAGACCCAAGATTTGGACATGCCTTAATGTTGGCTTTGCTGGCAGTCCTGAATCCACCAAAACCTTGTGGTGGATTTTGTAAGATGAAGGTTGTCAGTTTTGAAGGGATGTTCAAATCACCATGTACATTTTGAATGATAGGATGATGACAGATTTTTTGGGGGGCGGGGGAATGTACAGAAATTGTACTTGTGATGTTGTGTTTCAGAGAAATTTCTCCTGCTTCACTTAAAGGAATTTTGTGGCATCACAGCCCTGAGGAAAAGCTGTATTTTGTCTTCTGAATTATTTTGTCCCAGGTGGACGATGGGGACCCTGATAGCCCAATTGACCTGATGGCGGTCCGGCAAGCCTATGCCTTGCTCTGGACCCTGACGCCACTGGACGCATTCCTGTCCACAATGACAAATGCACTGGAGATCCTGCTGACATCGCTGGACACGACGGTTATACAGCCAGATGAGATAAACCAGGTAAGACGCGGAATGACTTTTATGCCCTGGGATGAGATTTATGTCCTGTTGAGACAGAATATTCTTTTTGTGGAACATTCTTCTGAATTACCATTTGCTGAAATCTTTTGCCCATTCAGATTCTCATTTTGCTGGAGAATCCTTTGCTAGAGACTCCCGAACTCCTGCGCATATTCTGCCATGTCATCATCCGATTATCCACCAGCACACACCAGGCCCTAGTGAGGGCGCTGTCCACTTATGACAGGAAGCACTTCCAACGTCTGCTCCAGCTGATCAAGAACTACCTCGGCTCAGTCTTGCGACCAAACCACCGGTAACTACCTCCTTGTCCTCTGATCTTCTTTGAAGGTACAAGATCTCCTAAGGGGTATCACAGTTCTTGCCAAGAAGCTCGTGCCAAACGCCTCATCATCCCCATATTAGCTGGTTAGCAACAAAGGACACATAAGCAAGATCCGGCAACCTGTGTCCACAAGGACCACTGACAGTTCAAACCCCAACCATTCCTTGAGCTTCTGAAGTTGGACATTTAGAAATACCAAAACTCCTAGTTCTTAGCACAAGGAATGTGAGAAGCATTAGAAACTTGTATGGTTCACAACTGACGAGGATTAAGAATTGAAGAAAGTCTTGTAAAAATATCCCGGAATTAGCTTTAGCTCTGTCTCAGAAATGGTTCTGCATTTTAGTGTAACTGTTATTCTAGCTCTGAAAAACTAACAGTTCTTTGCGTGTTTGTTCAGTGTCCATGAGAACATCATCTGTATAGCCAAGGTGCTATCTCTACTGCATGAAGCCAGCACACTGGCAGAAACGGAAGGGAAAACAGGCCACAGCGCGGGACAGCTTGCTGTGATGAAGGATTACTACAGTGAACAGCTGTCAAGGTGTGTTGGGGGCTGTCTCTGTCAGACTGTGAGAGCCGTTTGGCCCCTGACAGGGGCTGTCTCTGTCAGACTGTGAGAGCCGTTTGGCCCCTGACAGGGGCTGTCTCTGTCAGACTGTGATAGCCGTTTGGCCCCTGACAGGGGCTGTCTCTGTCAGACTGTGATAGCCGTTTTGCCCCTGACAGGGGCTGTCTCTGTCAGACTGTGAGAGCCGTTTGGCCCCTGACAGAGGCTGTCTCTGTCAGACTGTGAGAGCCGTTCGGCCCCTGACAGGGGCTGTGTCTGTCAGACTGTGAGAGCTGTTCGGCCCCTGACAGGGGCTGTCTCTGTCAGACTGTGAGAGCCGTTTCCATTTGAATCTTGCAATGGGATAGAAGTACTGTTTGAGAGCATTTTACACGACCAAATATCCGGATGCATTCATCACTGCCGCTTCTACACAATTCGTGAAAGGTGGAGGAATGTCAGTTGATGGTTTGTAGGGTTACGGATGGAAACACACAGTTCCATCTTAATCATTTGCACTTTGCAGTTAAGCGTTACAGTCTTGAATGAGGCGGTGGAGCTGCCTTGGCTCTGGTGATCCTGAGGGTCGTGGAAGAAACCTAAAGATGAGATGATTGTGTCAGAGAGATTACTCGATTCAAACTTCCTCTTGGCCTCCAACTAGGAACATGGACTACATGGGAGAATTCCAGAAATGGAAACTGCGCTCTCAACAGAAGGACAAGACAGCTGTAGGCGGCATCAGTCACAGCACCACCAGTGACAGCGGCTTCAGCAGCGCCAGCGGTAGCAGTAGTCTGAGTGATGAGCGGGGAGCCTACAGCAGGACGCATTCTGGCGGCGACCGGCAAGAGATAGAGTCTCTCCTAGACTTTCCCTTCCTGTTGGACCCTGCTGTAAGGTTACCTCTTGTACATTGTTACATTGGGGTCATTTTGGAGTCCAGAGTTTGAGCCCACCCTATCCCAAAATGTCTTTGTATCCGTCATGATCATTTTCACTTTTAATTTCTAGGAATATCCACAAAAATCCTCAGCTCCTGCTCTGAAGATGTATTAACCAATAACTAGTGGGTACAGTAAAGTAATGATTGGCACACTGTTGTGTTAGAAGCCAGTTTATTTTTGCCTTGGCTGTGGATTTTCCATGCACATCTCAGGCAGAGGCCACAGCCATAAATGCTTAATTCAGCTTTGACTAGTTTCTTGGAGTTTGATGGAATTTCAGGCTATTCATGGTGAAAGACAGCAACAGGTGGAATGGCTTGCCGTAGCACCATGTGAAGGAATATATCTCGCTTATGAGTATGTGTGGTTCTGAAAAGAACTGGGAGTACACTCAACGTTTCAGACTGCGTGCTCAGTCCGTTGTCAGCAGACTGACGAGATGCTGGATATAGAGCTGTTTACATAAGGTGACTGGATGCACCACTAGCATCCTCGTCACACCCCACTGCATCACATACTCACATACTAATAAGAGATGTATTCCTTCGCATGGTGCTACCGCAAGCCTTCCCACCTATTACTTGGAGTCTATTTTATCTTATCAGACCCAAGTCTCTGCATGGTTGGGGGGGTGGCAGACGATTTGTAAGATGACTTGTAGTGGAAATCGTTTGAATAGACATTCCTTAGGCCATTTCTGAGTGAAATTTTCTTCCGTTTTAGTCCAAGGTGCACATCCTGCACCTGGATGCCGTGACGCAGATGAGACAGGAGTACCAGGCAGCCATCTTGCATCAAGCCGTAAGTCACTCCTCGGAAGTCACAAACAATAACACAGATCCTTCTTAGGAGTTAGGAAGATTTTTGAAGATTAAGGAAAATAGATTCTGGTCAGAATTTCTTATAGAGATTGATTCTTCTTGAAAGTTGAAGAGCAAAGAATTTATCATTAGTTGTCTACAAAGTACAAACTGAAGCATTTTTGAGAATACAGGAACATAATCCGCTCAAATGATGAGGCAGTAGGGACTAATTTTAATTTTCCTAACTTGGGGTGTACTAGAGTTTCTGAGTTGACAATTGGAAGTATCATAGAAAATCACTAGATGGAGCACCACACATTGTGTTTGTTACATCCAAGCATCTGATGTTCTAACCTCATCGGTTTTTGGTCTCCAACAGAGGGTCTACCAGGCCCAGAAATACCTCCACAAGTCCAACAAGGATGCCCTGAAAGATTCCATCAAGGCTGCCATGTGCCCGTTCCTGGTCTTGGAGGTGCGCAGGGACTCCCTGGTCCGGGACACCCTGGCCCAGATGAGGCTGAAGCGGCGTGACCTCAAGAAGCCGCTCAAGATCAAGTATGTGGGCGGCGGGGAGCAGGTACGTTAGATCATTGGCTCTGCACGTGTCCTGTAGAGGGCGGTATTTTACCCAACAGTGTCCAAGTCCAAATTAGTGGCTGCGGTTTGAAGTAAAACATGAGCCTATGGGAAATGGACGAAGCTGCTGACTTGTGGCTTGTATAGTGTTATATTCAGCCGTAGTCAAGTTATTTGCATTTTGCCGATGACAGCTGAGCAAACTGGATCTCGGTCCCTCCATCATACCCCAGACTTTTGAAAAATGTTGTTTAGTTGATTCATTTAAGATGACAGGCAATTCAATATGCAGAAATGTTGGTATATCTTTTACTGAAAGAAATGTTTTAAGAGACAGGTGTCAGGTTATTGATTGGTACTTTGGATTCAGGGTTTGGATATGGGAGGTCTGCAGAAAGAGTTCTTCCAGCTAATCACAGAGGCCGTCTTTGACCCAAAGTACGCCATGTTCACGGTCCTGGAAGAGTCCAGAACGCTCTGGATTAACGGTGAGTGGAAATGGGTGGTGTGGAATCCATCCAGCATAAGCCCTGTTGTACATTGCACCTTGCTTAGGAGACATTGTGATCAAGGAGGTGTTTGTCCCGATAAGAGACCCTGGCAATGCAACAGGTGGATTGGCCCTCATGATTAGTGGTTAGGATCCGTGACTCGTAATTAGAGGGTCAGGGGGTTTGAATCTAGCTGCTGGCCATAAGTTGTGTTCTTGGGCAAGCCAATTTACCCTTACTTGCGCCTCTCCACCCAGGAGTGTATTTGGTACTGTCATTAACCGGGAGCAACCTGTGATGGACTGGCATCCCACCCAGGGTAGAATATATATACTCAAGCATTTCATTCCTTTGAAACTAGAGATAAATGTTGGCTTGATGAACTACATTGACTTTGGACAGTTCGGGGGGGGGGGGCTTGTACAAATGAAAATAAAGAGACTGGTGGCATCAACTCTTACCTCAGGGGGCTCCTTGGAATCCGGGGATGAGTTTGAACTAGTTGGCTCCCTCCTGGGCCTTGCCATCTATAACGGTATCATCCTGGACGTCCATTTCCCTACGGCCATCTACAAGAAACTCCACAGCAAGGTGATGGACCTCCAGGACCTAATGGAGATCCAGCCCTCAGTGGGCCGGGGCTTACAGGAGCTGTTGTCCTACCAAGAGGAGGAAGATGTGGAGAACGTTTTCTGTCAAACCTTTCAGGTACGCAGTAGCTTGTGATGAGGAAATGGGCCTGGTGATTCACTTTCCTTTTTGGTATATGAAACAAGGATTTCTCAAAAGTACGCATGACACTAGCTCAAAAGCTCTGAGGAAACCAAAGAAGAGGAACGATGGAGAAACGTTCAGTGGTATAGGTGGACCGAAAACTTTCAAGTAGATATGCGGGGCAAAAAGGGATGGAATCAGGTGGGGAGTGATAACCCAATCCCTGTGTCAGCCTAGCGGGGATTTGAACTCAGGTCATGGAGGTGAAAGGCAAGGAAAGTGCCACTGCACCAACCTGACTCGCCAGGTCTCTGCATTCTTTTAGTGAGAGCTTCCACTGTCAAGGGATAGATTCTTGCAGCATTTGTGGATTACCAGTTGGCAGTGTTTGATGTTTATCTTAAGATTTCTCTCTGCGTCTTTATTTTGGACCAGATTTCTTACACCTTAATGGGGGAGGTGGTCACAGTGGATTTACTACCAGAGGGTTCCCAGATTCCCGTCACCAATGAGGTAGGTCAACTTGGAGCTTTCAACGCAAGTTAATGTCTCTAGCCAGAAAATGTTGATAGATGGTTAATCCAACAGTGCGAACAGCTGATTGGCTGAATTAGCGATGCAGAATCATTAGTGCTTCCAGGCTAAGCCAATTAGATTGGGCCAGAGTGTTCATTCTTGGATGTGCTTGAAATTTTCAGAGAATAGTACTTCTCCACATTTTTCTTTGATAAAGATTTCAAAATTACCTAAAAAACAAGAAGTAACACAAATTTCGATCACTCTTCACAGAATTTTATTTTCTACCCTGCCAGGGTTTGCAAGATTTCATGAAACTAAGCACAATAGTCTTTGTTTTCCGTCTTTCCAGAATCGCAAGGAGTACGTGAAGCTCTACGTCCAGCATGTCCTGGTTGACAGTGTAGCTCCACAATTTGAGGCCTTCGCCCGTGGTTTCCACACAGTCTGCGGCGGCTCGGCGCTGCGCCTGTTCCAAGCCGCTGAGACAGAGATGCTTGTCTGTGGGAGTCCAGAACTAGACTTTATGGCTCTCGAAGCCTCCGCTACATACGAGGATGGCTACTCAAGGTAGGATATGGAGGATTTTTTATTGGTAATGGTCACATCTGTGAAGTTTAAAAGGATTTATTTTATTATGATGGTTATGATGGTGTTGCAATGCTTTTAGTTCATTGTACCGTACTGTTGCTGAGAAAGTTATATGGAAGGACATATTCTCTTAGAGTGAAGTCAATTATTGTATGCATTCTAAGTGCTGCTTGTGCGTGAACTACATCCGTTACAATGTGCAAAGATAGTATCCGAGAGCCTGGTTTGAATGTTAAGCAAGTTAGGGTGCCTTGGGATATACATGTATGTTCTCCAAGTCCTATTTGGGAAATGTCACTCTGTGAAATTTTTCAGACAACACCCAACCATCAAGGCGTTTTGGACAGTAGTTCACTCTCTCAGCAAAGAGCAGAAAAGAAAACTCCTGCATTTCATCACGGGAAGTGACAAGGTAATTATTGATCAGAAAATGATTTCTTTCTTAAACCCGTGGGATTTAGACTTTGAAATTACATCCTATTTTTGATCTCTTTAAAGGTTTGGGCTCAAGTCATTTTTTTTTCTAACTCTGAAAACAAATTAATGATTTGTGGCATGGTGATCATTTTCATGAAATAAAGTTGAACCGCCATTGTCTAATCAAGTATTTTGAGAACTGTATTGAAAATAATTTCCCATGTTATGCTCACAATCTCCTGTTGGCAACTCTAGGTTCCCTTGAAGGGTCTGTCCAGCCTTCCAATCGTCATCCAGCGGAACGGACCGGATTCCGACCGCCTGCCCACTGCCATGACGTGCTTCAACCGCTTGCTTCTACCCGACTACAGCTCGGGAGAAACGCTCCGTCAGAAACTCCTTGTAGCCATTGAGAACAGCAAGGGGTTTGGGCTGACGTGAGCAGAGATGACCACCAAACCAGCGTGTTATCCAACTGACTTTAATCACAAGTTAGCCATATTGAATTGAAAGCGAGGTTAACTGTTTTTATTTCGGGAACCCCAGAATATATCCGAAAGCAGTGAAAAAAAGTCCATTGCAGATTAATTTCATTTACAAGAATAAATAATTCAAAACGCAATTCAGTATATCTAAATTTTTAAAGCAACATTTACAATAAAATGAAAAAGAGCCATGCAATCCCAAATAGTCTGGCACCATCCTATTTGATAAATTACACTGGATGAGATAGATGCAGGGAGCAAGATCAAGATGGCTTCCTTGTGTATAAAGTCTGCATGCATGCACTTGTCACAACATGGTCTGATGGCGCACTACTTGAATGGTATTTGTTGTAATTTTACCAGGCACGTAACTTAATTCATAGATCACCAATGCAAAGTTCTCACCTTTTTATTCATTGGACAAGATACGAAATTTCAATGAGCAAATGTTTTTTATAGAGCGAGGCACAAAAATGGATCCATTAATGTTATTCTTTCATTTGTTGCCAATACGAGTCTATTCCTGGATGTTAGAGACGACAATCATGTGATGACTTTCCTTGATTTGGACCATTTTTCACACTTCCGCCGAGTCTTGGACACACAAAAAGCCATTGTGCTTGTGTGATTAAATTCGAAGGGTTGTTCGTGAGAAAATCTTGTCCTACAAGCTAACTTATTCAAAGATTTACTTTCTGATTTCATAAGTTCTAATAAAAAAGAATTTTCTACTGTAGTAGGGTTTATGAACTTTTTTTCCCCGAGAGCACTTTGACGAAGATTTAAAATGAATTCAGCAGTCCTTCAACTAGTTATACACTACAGGTCTTTCGGTGTAACTGTGAAAGGTCTTTAGCATCAGAGGCAGCAGGACAACAAAAAGAACTGTTCATCAGAAACACCTGTTTGTGTCAGTGCAACTTAAAAGGTTTATTGTATCCATCACTTCCCAAGTGATTCAAGCTGTAATACTTTGTCAGGGCTTTTACCAACAGATCAGCGTATTACTTCACATGTGGGCTCTGTGCTCAATGAGGGACGTTAGTCACTCAGTCAAGATGCCCTGTTGAGCCAACCCTACTGCATGCGCACCATCGCAAGTGACATCCATGCAAAACGCATCCACCCGTGGTCTGCCAGCGTGCCTAACACGCAACTGCAGTGGCGTTCCTGTTTTTTGTCACCAGTGACGGAAACGTCGGCACGGAGCCCGCATGCAAAATCTCAGGGAGTTTTGAGCACAATGAGTGGCTAAACTGGTCTAGGGCGCTTGTACAGTAAGCCTCGCATCAGCATTTGCCACTGTGCTTTTTTATTTTAAAGACAAAATGTTCTGTGGAGCCCGCAAAGAAAGCTGATGAGAAGACTACTGCCTCGACTGTTTCTCACATGATGTTTGAGGTATCTTACTCCAATGATTGCCTAGTCCTCATCTTCAAGTTCAAGATCTAGGTCATCCATCTCTTGGAAGAGTGATTCATCGACCTCAACCCTGTCATCTGGGAAAAACAGGAGAAAACAAATTAGCTGTTTCAATCGTACAAAAAGAGCTTTCAATCCAAAGACGTCTCTGACAGAATCAGAAGGTCTATTCGAAAATGCAAGCAAACATTTGACCTAGGAACAGTAGCCTCCAAACTCCAGGTAATGTCTACCGTACTGTAAGCACTGTAGAATCTTCAGAAATGATATCACTCTGTCAGTTAGGAATGACTTACTTTCATCCAGCAAGGCCATGTCGGAGTCGTACAAATTATGGTCCTTTTCAAAGAGCTCCTTTCCTGCAGCAGAATAAAAAGAGCAATGAGAAATTAGTGTGTACAATATTCAGAATTCTACATTGGTTTCAACGAGAGTCCACGATGGCTTCTTTACCTGTCAGCTTCTTTGGCTGCTCTGTCATTTTTTTCTTCTTCTCTGTCAACCTTTCCTGGTCAAAGTTCTCCTTCCATGCCAGGAAGGACTCTATTGTCACCAGCGTGCCTTTCAATCTCTGCTCCTGCAGACCGCGATTTGGGGAAGGGGAACAACACAGCATTAGCTCAAATCCTTCAATGGATATTGTTAGGTTTAGCAACTGTGAGAAAAACACTTGAGGTCAGAAACAACTGAAAACCTGTGTGTCGCACCAAAAAACTCAGTATCGCACCACGCAAAGCTTCAAATCGCACTTAAAAGAGTCATTTGTCGACTGCTGTACAACATTAAGGAAAGCAAGTTCACTTTGGAAACAGACGGCCAAAACAACAATTTTCATCCAAAAGGTCCTAAAATAGATTAAGAGTTCCTATTTGGCCTCAGTGATTTCAGCATGTTCTCTTTGACATTTGCTTCCACATTGACAATTTGAGACATTCTTTCTCCAAGTCTCTCTACCTCTTCTTCTTTCAACCGATCTGCTTCTTCCTCTCGCCGTCTCTTCTCCTCCATCTCGGCCTTTCTCTCCTCATCAACTTTGTTGTTTAGGTACTCCTGGGTGGCCGAGACTAGCGTGAACACCATGGCCATGCCGAGATTCTCCTCGATCTACAATGACAAATACATCACAGCGTTTATAACGGGACAGGTATCCAACAGTATCCATCATTCAGAGGCACCGCTGTACATTTTATATACAGATAAGACACTAATGTTTCAGTAGCCAGCTGATTCTATGTGTTCTCTGAACGCCTTGTCTTTCTACTTTTTTTGGTGAGTTTTTGTTCCTCATCAGGCTACTCATATTCTACTCATGAAGAGTATTGATGGATGCAAAAGTTGGTTGGTTGAGACTTCAAATGGGGCAAGTTGGAGTGTGCATCTGATCATGCAAACGAGAATGAAATTATTGAATAAAAAAGTCCTGTTTGACTCCTTTTTGTGGGTACCAGTGAAATTTGCTTCATCAGAAGTCTGCGGTTGCTAGCTTGATGTATACTGTATGTTGGAAGTACGACACCTTCCCCCTGGAGTAGGGAGGTGGCTATTCTAGGTCCTTGAAACAGGGAGATACTTTCTCAGAAGCACTAACCCTCCTTTTATTGTGGACTTTCAAACTTAGACCTTCGTTCTTCCAGTGGCAAAAGCTAATCCACAGTGCTACATCACTTTTCCAGTTGACTTTGTCAACCCTGACTTCAACCCAATTCAAATCAACTGTCAGTGGGTTAATGGCAACATTATTAGAGCGTTCCATTTGGTTAGAACAGATACCTGTTGCTGAAGTGTTTCTGTGATTTTGGATCGATCATCTTCATCCACGTTCCCATCTTCTGTCACCTCGTATAGAGGGGGCTCGTCCGGGTAGGTTGGTGTGTAGGTAAACTGGAGGGTTGCGCTATAGGTTTCTGGCAATCAATGACGCAATTTTAATAATGAAACTTCCTAAGCAATGAATTCATCAATGCTCAAAAATGTCCTTTCAGTCCGAGATCCCTCAAGTCCACCGAGGGCTTTTGGAAGATTCTGAAGGAAATGAAGAATATACAACCCTGTGGGGATAGAAAGAATGTACCACTGCCTTTTGGGCACAAAGATTGATTAATTAAATTGATTGTACATTTGACATGTTTGAAATTATTTATTCAAGTGAAAGAGATTTTTCATTGGTTGTTGGGGAAGGGTGGGGCATGCTGTTGGGGGGGGAGGTAACCTACCATCGTCCTCATTTCCAGTATCCTCTGAACGCACGGTGATGCGGAAGCAATGTGGATCATCCGACAGCACTAGTAGTGAATTTGAACCGTGAGAAGATAAGTATATTCATTGCTGTACTATTGATTCGTGCGAAAAAAAAAACAAAACGAAACAAAACAAAAAACCAAAATATGAAAGAATGAAACCAAACAAAAGAAAACAAAAAAGAAAAGGACTGGAAAGACTTCCATATATGGATGCCACTAGACACCCTGTGCACAAACCCTATGAGCATGATGAGACCAGTGCTTTATCTTACATGTACTAATAGTAATATGCACTAGCCTAGTCAACCCATGGAGGGTGTGTTCCTTCCTCCATGGTCAACCGTCCTAAATTTTTCGGGATATGTTTTTACTTTCAGACGGCTATTAGGTCACTGTAGGGAATAGTTACTGTCTTCCGTATATGGAACTCTTCTCAAAGAAATAGTCGTGATATATGACCCGATTACAAACTTGACCTTGTTCAATTTCAATCGTCTTGATCACGCTTGAAAATGCACTGGCAGTCGTGACACAGTTTGCAGATTCAATTCCGCAAATAGATTGTATCCCTACCTGTGAATTCCTCAGGATAAATCGATTCCAAAGCAGCGATCTCATTTGTTTGTTCTTCCTGGTAGTCAGTCATGGACGTTTCTTGCTAAACTCAGAGGATGAAATAAGGAAAAAGACGATTTTCACCAACTTCCCAGACAGCGAAGCGCATACTGAGTGGCGCATAGGGCCGGCATGTACAGTGTACGTGTACTTTAAGTACACGTACAATGTGAACCCTTGAATGCTGTCTGTATAGTCTGACTCCCTTCGGTGGTAATACTATAAAAACGAGGCTTGGTACAGGGTACCTGTCCGTCTGTTATCGTCCAACTTCAAGGGATTCGTGGTAGGCCCTATTTAGAACTTTCGTGAGGTTTCTGACAGTTCTGGATTAATTAGCCATAAAGACTGAACGTAGCCGTTCCCATGAAAAAATTGACAAATTTCAAATAAGGGATATCATTATTTTTCCACCCAGTGACAAGCAATTGTGAATTTTTTTTCACATAATGGGCATGCAGTACATTGCTTGGCAAAAAAGGTTTCTTAGAGGCCGCCGTATTCAAATCAACTGAATTTGCGCATGATCAGTTTATTTCAAATACACGTTTGCTGCAGCAACGACGTCGTCAGTTTACATGAACAATTGTTTCGCCCGTTAGGCCCCAAAAGACCAAGGTAATTTGAACGAAATTTTACAGATTTTGTCTGTGAAATATTTGGGGAGGCAATGGACGGGAACTTGTATCATATTTTTGGGCCTGAATTGCCACGTTACTGTTCACGAATTTGACTAAAATTCAAGTCCTTTTTAGCGTCGGTTTACCCGTCCGCGCCGCCTAGCTTCTCCGCTGGCTGGCGGGCGGTCGTTGGGCCTCCGTCATGTCCGGCTGCGTCAGGCTTTTCTTTTGCACTGTGTTTAGGCCTATGTGATGTACAGCCACTTAAGCGTGGCTGTGAGCGCATTATTTTGGTCGGGCAGGGTTGCATAGACCTGTAGACAGGCCCTTGGCCCCTATTGCCTGTCATGCTTGTCGTATAACCATGAATGGCATGATAACACTTGGACGTTGGGTGTAAAAAAAACCATGGAGGATTGAGGAAGGACGCAAACGGGCATGTAGGCCTAGGCCTACATTCATGCATGTCATGACATTGTCACTGTCAGCATGGTCAGATTGTAAATGTCACCGTGACGTCACTGACCTGCCATGCCTGCTGACATTTTTATGCATGTTAATGTAGCTAGAACAAATGAGTAACATTAGGCCTAGGGTCCTTTACAGACATGACAGATGTGTTATGCATTATTCATTTTGTCATGTTTGTAAGAACTGAAGAATCAAAATTGATTTGTTTCGTGTAAGCCTAGTATTAGTATTTATACTCCTGTTACTAATACTAGGCCAAGGCCAACTAATTAAAACTTTGGATTTTTTTATCAATCAGATAACATGAGCGTCACAGAGATATGTGAGAACACCAAGATGGGGCGTGAATACGCCCTCCTGGGGAACTACGACACATCTTTGGTGTACTACGAGGGCGTGCTTCAGCAGATCCAGAAACTTCTGGTTAACATCAGGGAACCGGAACGCAAACATCAGTGGCAGAAGGTTGGTGTTATGAGCAAGTTGTTAAAAAAAAAGACAGCAAAGTTGGTTCAAATTGAGATCCGACAAGAATATCCTGTCAGCTAAAACACAGTGGTTGGATTCAAAAATTTTCCGTGCTAACATACGCAATTAGATTCTGAATAAGGATGGTAGATTGATAACTCACGTCGTTCCTTACATCCGTTAGGTGAAACAAGATCTAGCCAAAGAGTATGAGCACGTCAAAGACATCAGTAAGACACTGAACAGCTTCAAGACAGACCCAGTAGACCCCCCAAGCAGTGCCCCAGCTTATAGGCAGCCAGCACCTTACTCTCAGCCCCAGGAACCCCCTAGAGATCCCGATGTCTGGCCACCACCAACCCCAGTGGAGCACAGGTGGGAAGTGGAAAGAATGTCCAGTGAACATCTCCACAGTTATATCTTCAACACAAATTTCTTCTTGAAGTTTCTGATTTGTTTGAAATGCACCCTCTCACAATTCATGATCACCAGCGATAGTTCTTGATGTCGTTGAGCGTCGTTGAGCCATATTTTTTTTAAAGAAAAGGTTAAGTTGCTGAAATTAGTATGAGAAATTAGCTTTACCATGTCAACTGTATGTCAACTGTATTCATAGACATAGACCTGGTCACATTGAAGAGGTCATTCGCTGAATGTTCAAACTTTGTTTGAATATTACATTGATAGGTTCTCATGTTTTTCTCTTTAATCTCAGGCCATCACCCCAGTATCAGCGAGGAGCCCGCAAGGACCCTCCGCGGCGGTCCGAACCTAGCAAGCCGTCCAGGGGTGCACCCGCACGAGAGCAGCCACGCCCATCGGGTGGGCGTGGTCCCTCTTACGGTGACAAGAGGAACGACGGCAGGGGCAGAGGTGGTGGCCGGGACGACAGGAAGGTCAATCGCAAAGATCGGGTCAGTGAGAAGATCTCTGGGTTCGAATTATCCGAGATGTTGTCACAAAGTTTCCTTTTGTGTCTTTGGCCCATTTCACTAAAAACAAAGGGATTGTAAATAAACAAGCCTTAATTGTGCTGTAGTTGATCTCACTGGCTGGTTACTTACTTCATCATTGTTCGCTTTTATCACAGGATGCCAAAGGCTCAGCAAATGCCGAGGAAGGTGACGAGAAGAAATTTGACCCCTCTGGTTACGACAAGGACTTGGCTGAAAATCTGGAGCGAGACATTGTACAGAAAAACCCGAATGTCCACTGGTGAGTTGTCCTATCAGATCAGCTGATTTGGTCATTTGTTGAAAACTGCAAATTAAAAGACTCCATGCACAGTTTTGGGAGCTTCCAATTTTCATGTTTTCTTCCTACTTGCTTGCCCTCACATGACAAGTGTGATTACAAAAAAAGGTACATTTATGCAAGCTAGCCATTTTTCAAATATTAATCCTCTAAATTATGTTTGGAATACATCACCTCAAATGAACCTGGCTTTTTATGTCAGTTGCCCCCAGGACGTGAATCATTTTCAGCAGCCAGAAAGCAACTGACAAGCCTTAGAGTATCATCAAAACATGTGTCGACGAGATCCAATAAGGTAAATTCATCTCACTATTTCCTTTCAGGAGTGACATAGCTGGCTTGACTGAAGCCAAGAGGCTGCTTGAGGAGGCTGTAGTTCTACCGCTCTGGATGCCAGACTATTTCAAGGGAATCCGTAGGCCGTGGAAGGTAAAGAACAAAAGTATACATGTACACCGTGAGCTAAAATCCTGCCGCAGTCTTGTTTGAATTCAAAAGAAGTCTTTTATCGCTCTCATGCAGCATGTGGTTCATCAGTATTTTTTGCTGTAAAGGACAGTTTACACTTTGCTTAATATGCCAGAATAATTTCATTCAGACCATTACATTCAAAATGAGAGTAACTTTTTTGAAATCAGTTGAAACCTTGACTGTTTGGTGAATCTTGTCAACTCTTAAAATAAAGTTGAGACAATTTTTGTCTGGAGTGCCAACAGAATTGACAAAAACTGGTTGACGTCATGCTTGGATGGAAAAGTGAGAGCAAGCTTTATTTTCTGATTTTCGTAGGGTGTGCTCATGGTTGGCCCGCCCGGTACCGGCAAAACTCTCTTGGCCAAAGCGGTGGCCACCGAATGCGGCACAACTTTCTTCAACGTTTCCTCCAGCAGCCTCACGTCCAAGTGGCGTGGGGAATCTGAGAAACTGATGCGCTTGCTCTTTGAAATGGTACGTGGGAGCCTAGTCTTTTTCTCTTTCATGTATCCTTTCCTTTGTACCAGGGGGTTTTGATGGTTGGTCCACCAGGAACTGGCAAAACAATGCTGGCCAAAGCCGTGGCCACCGAATGCGGAACAACATTCTTTAACGTCAGCTCTTCAACGCTGACTTCCAAATATCACGGCGAGTCGGAGAAACTGGTGCGAATTTTGTTTGAAATGGTAGGTATCCGTTAAAATTTGTAAACTGCGAGGATTTTGGAGCACGATCTCTGAAGCAGACAAACCTGATTGGAAATATGTATTGCATGCTGTCAAAGAAATTTACAAGAGAAGGATTTCTTCATTTGTTTTTTACTGAGAATGCCAAAACAAGAACCATCTTGTTACACTTTTGTTTGCTTTTCCTGATCAATTTCAGTCATTCATTAGCAATCGGAATCAGTGTAGACGATAAATGTAATCCAAGTCCCTCACATTTACCTTCCTCCCCCCAAACCAAGGCACGGTTCTACGCGCCCAGCACCATCTTCATTGATGAGATCGACTCCATTTGCAGCCAGAGGGGTGGGGCCTCTGAGCACGAGTCCAGCCGGAGGGTGAAGGCAGAACTCTTAATTCAAATGGATGGTAAGTGAACACACCATCTTTGAAACAAACAAAAAAGTGGGTTTCTACCCCTTGCGTGCCCTGGGTTGCTCTTGTAAATATATTAATAACAACATTTTGGTACAAGTTTTCTGATTCAAATTTGCTTCAAAGTCAAGAATTTGGACTAAATTCAGGAATAAATCTTTTGTTTTGCAGCCATTTACCTTGACACTGGCTGCCCAGTTGGTTATTTATTTCTTGAAAATACTTTATTGGTTCGTAATTATTGTGTTCTTTGTTTGTTTACAACAGGTGTGACAGGCGCCACAGGTGGCGATGACTCTACAAAGACAGTGATGGTCCTGGCAGCTACCAACTTTCCCTGGGACATTGACGAGGCATTGAGGCGTCGACTAGAGAAAAGAATTTACATTCCACTCCCCTGCGGTAGGTCTCCAACCTCACCGTACCTCTACTTCCCTCTTTCTATGCCAATAATCTTGCCAGGGGGTTATTACATTTTGCAAGGTACTTACGTTACAGTGTTATTTATAGCTATCTGGGTATTCTCCTGAAAGAGATTTCACACCTTCTTGGCTTAATCAGTAATATATCAAAAGATGCTGTCCCCACTGGAAAAACAGTTGTCGCTGTGCATTCATGTTGATTTTATTTACCAAGTTAACAAATGAGTTATATCCAGTTTTGGCTTCTTACATAAGTATGGCTGGAAAGTCCTTATGCCGAACTTGTTACATGACGGCACTTGAAAAGCATTTAATATACTGTTGCTGATCAGATCATGAGTCTTGATGAAGTAAGTTATGTAACAGCTTGTCATAAGTAGAGGGTGCTCTTCAATGCTAGCCGTCAGTGATATAGTGCAACATAATAAATGTTGATGTTTGTTTATCATCGCCAGCCGAGGGTCGGGAGCAACTGCTGCAAATTAACACCCGGGAGGTGCCTCTGGAAGACGGCATCGACATGAAAGAAATTGCCAAGATGCTGGAGGGTTACTCAGGCGCCGATATCACGAATGTCTGCAGGTAGGGCCAGAGTTGTTCCCTCAGACGCCTTCAGGTCTGATCTCCTGACCACAGACTGTTTCTGTAATGCACGAAAACTTACAGCTCAAAGTGTTTATGGAGACGAGTTAAGACTCACGTGTACACTGCTCAAGCCTCCTCATTTAAAGCCAAGTTGCAATTTACCAGTGTGCTAAGACTTTTTGAAAGCTAAACGTTTGTTGAAATTGTGACAATTCTTCTGTGAAGAGTGGTGAGATCTTGAATCATGTTAGACTATTGTAGCCATGTCAAATATACCTCAGCTTCTTCCAGTGGCTTGCACTCAGACAAATATTCTTTCATCTCATTGAATAACTCAGCGAAGCATTACCCAGCCCTAGCAAACGCTCAGTTCCTCTGACAAAATCTGCATCGCTGCAGGCTTCCCCTAACCATCGCGAGCAATGTTGCATAGCCTGTGCCTCAGTGTCAGTCACTCGCAAGCATTGGAAAATGAGATTGGAAGCCGGACATGAGGATGATCTCTCTCTCCCCACCCTTCCTTCCCATCATGCACAGGGACGCCTCCATGATGGCCATGCGGCGTCGCATTCAGGGCCTTCGGCCCGAGGAGATCCGCCTGATCCCCAAGGAAGAGTTGAACCAGCCCACATCCATGGACGACTTCCGCGAGGCCATCAAGAAGGTCAACAAGACAGTGGGGAAAGAGGATCTGGTCAAGTATGAGAAATGGATGGATGAATTTGGATCGGCGTAACCCCACCTTAAGTGCCTTACGCACAGAGCGGTTTTAAGATGCACAAAAGATTTGAACCAGTTTTTTCATGTAAAGTAGCACTTTACATGGCACCCTAGTATTTTCACATTTATTTTACTTATTCTCATTGTTGATTTCTAAGCCACCTAGTTTATGAAATTGAAGTTATTTTTGAGTGTATTCTACATTAATGACTTGGAGTGTCCCCTCAAGAACATCTGAAAAGTCTCTATCAAGTTATTCGTGTGATGTTTTTCCATTATTAATCATACTTAGACAATAATAATAATAAGGCACTTATAAGGCGCACTTCATCTGTAAACATTCAAAGGCGCCGGTCCAAGGTAGAAAGCGAAAACTCAATTTTGTGTTCACGATGAAAAAGCTAGTGAGATAAAGAATGTTTTGAGATGCTGCTGAAAATGTTTGATGTCATGTTCTTGTCCTAAATGATCAGGGAGTTCCATAAGTGAGGTGCAATGCTAGAAAAAAAGCTCTGTCTCCATAACTGGTCAGCCGAGTCCGGGGAACAACAAGGGTATTGTTGACCTCGGACCGGACCTGACCCAGTGGGGTTGCAGCATGTTTGTTAAACAAAAAGGGCCAGAGCCGTGGAGTGTCTTGAATGTGAGATGGAGGATCTTGAACTGAATTCTGTATTTGATCGGTAACCAGTGTAGCTTGTTGAGGATGTGATCTGTTCTTTTGGAGCTTGTTAGAAGACATGCGGCGATATTCTGATCTGTTCTTTTGGAGCTTGTTAGAAGACATGCGGTGATATTCTGTTCAAGTTGCCGACGATGAATTGTACGGTGTGGAAGACCAGTGAGCAGGCTGTTCCAAACGTCGAGTTTGGTAGTAACATAAGCTAGATTTAACTAGCTTATGCTGTGGCCTTCAAATGCTAAGTTTTGTGAAGTTCACAATTTTTTAATACCTGAAAACAAAGGAGCAAAGACATTCTATCTGGTTACAACAGTTTGTGATGATTAAATAATTTGTCCATTGACACGAAAACTTACTTAAAGAAATTCCGCTCAGACTGTATCTGAAAAACTTTTCCATTGTTTTGGTAATACATTCAGATCACACCAATTGTAAAAGTAAAAATCATTCTTCTGGAGAAATGAATTCTGATGCACATATAGAGATTCGTTTTGTTCAGTTATTTCTCCTAGTTTCATGCATGTATATACACGTTTTTCAGTCGAACACTCTGCGTGTATTATGCATGTGACCCTTCTGGGTTAGAAGATTAATACATAATTCATACATTAATACATATTCATGTATTTAATTTGGAGTTATTCCTCCAAACTGCTTATGCCGGTGGTTGCTGTGAGCTTATTAAAATAAATTATTAATCCAGGAGGCATTGCTTTCAGTTCATTCATTTTTTGTCTGCACGATTCTTCAGCACTGCTGAATTTCTAAAATCCATGTGCGAATTCGTTGTGGGTTGTTTTCCTCATGAATTATGCAAATTAGACATACTTATGCGCAACGCTTGGCTAGGCTGCAAGAAGTTTCGGGAGAGGGCGTCATTGGTAACTTTTGTAAGAATGAACGTACAGTATACTCCGTAAAGGTTGAGTAATCTAAATTAATACAATAGTGCATCACGTATATTCAGTGCAGTGTGTAGTTTCCCGTAAAAAAAAACATGTTTTAAAGTTTTCAAAGCTTGGCATGCAAAATGGTCAAAATAATTATGCTTCCGTAAAACGTGTAAAACAAATGTTTTTTTTTGGCTGAATGGATCTAAATTTCAACTGCTTTTGAGTTTGCCAGACGGGCCATAACATTGAATGACAGCCCGGTAACCAAGAAGTAAGAGTAAAATCCGCAAATGATTAAATTTTTGGATGGTTTGGATTTAGAGTTTTTCCAAAGTGGAGAGTGTGTGGTGGGGATAAGATTATTAAAAAAGACTTTCTCTTTACCAAGCACGTAACTTTCTGCATTACTTTTTGCATCGTTAAAGTGTGTATAGCGCCACCATGCGCTGGATACTTTTCACTCTTCAAATCAAGTCAGAGATGTCCGGTGTATCTACCCACCTCCATGGTATCTTGCTTGAAAATTTCTAGTGACTTTTAGGCCTGAGTTTTTCTCATAACAAGACATCTTGGATATCTAAGACCGACATGAACAGCAGCAGTGTAACATGAGATAGTTGAGTCATCCAGCCCTTTTTGAGGGTATGGCCAAGCATATGTAAATTGACGTCGAATATGGGCAGTGATTTAGTTTGGTCTCGTCGAAGTTTGTACAGTCCGCTGCGCGTGGGGCCCGATGTTTTGGTATCGCGCGGTGTCTACTGATATGGCACACGGTGTGCAGACGTTCCACAGTGCACACACCGTGTGAGATCTTGCCGTCAAAAACCTCGCATTTCTCCTCTCTGTGGAACTCGTATTTGACTGGGTGGCACAACTGGATATACCCAGTAGGATTTGTGGACCCCGTGGAGGTAATCCTGAGCCTGGACGTCCGGGAAAATACTGCAATTTGAGGACGTTTTGCGGATAACTTTTCCCAGTGACTAGCGTTAGGCTTGTTGGAAAGTTGACGAAGTTGTGCACCGTAGAGACCAAACGATACACCAGTTTACGCGTGCACATAGCAATTGGTACAGTGATAAAACTAACTCCGTGCAGTTTGGATACGTAACCCACTTGCCAAGACTTTTCCCGTGAACAAGTTCTTGAAGACTGGGATGTATCATGATGTCTTTGTCCTCGCCGTATGCGGATTCTGTGGATGGAATTTCACAAAAAATGTATGCAGGAAAGAGGCGTCGCAGGCCGGTCAAACGGTGTGTATTGCTTTTGAAATGAATTAGTTTGGAAATGATTCATGTGTTGTTGTGTTTAGTTTAGTTAAACAGTTTCAAGGAGTGTTTAAAATTTCCTAAGTCATGTGAGTGGTTTTGAAGTGCTGCTTCCACCTAATTTTGTTTTATTTACTGGCTTTTGTTTTGTTGTGCTATGATTGACAATAGATGTAGGTCGTCTGCTTGGAAAAGAATTCCATACAGCTTGCCACTTATTTTTCCCTACAATAACCGAGTATAGCCATCTGAAAGCAAATAACATGACCTAAAATGTCAAATTTAGCAGGGAAAATATTGAGGGAATTCATGTTGAAAATACTTGGAATTTTTCAGACCAGTCTTATATGGTTTGTACCTCCAGAACAGTTTTGGAAGAAAACGGTTTGTGCATAGGATATCAAGCGGGGTCCGTATGTACCTTTTTCCCCTGCTTGTTTCCAATTACGATTAGGCCTATTTAACTTACGATTTATGCATTAAGCTGGTTGTAGTTATGCAAAGACTTAATCAGAAAATAGATTATTTCTATGTGGTCGCTAGATTAAAGTGAAAGTAGCTCATGTGAATTGAGCCTTCCTTCCCCAAAATTGTTTGATTTAATTGAAGACAATTACATAGACAAGAAAGGACAAACCCAAAAGTTAAAAACCACAGTTGTCTTTTACCCGTGCATTGCAGCTAAGTAACGTGAACTGTAAATTATAATCACACTTGATAAATCACAGTTTTCATATCGAGTTGGAGTGAAACTTAATAATTCATATCCCTAAATAACTGTTTTGCCTGAAGTTGAATAATGATGTAACTCCATGGTACCTATAGGAATCCCACGCACACTGTTGTAGAGGTGAAATCCAATCCTAGCAAACGCCATCGTGACCGTCTCAATGCCGAGCTGGACCGCTTGGCCAGCTTGCTGCCGTTCGATGCAGACACCATCTCCAAGTTGGATAAATTATCCATTCTGAGGCTGAGCGTGAGCTACTTAAGGAGCAAGAGTTACTTCAATGGTGAGTGGAAGACGAAAAAAGTGGATTTTCTGTCATTTTATGTAAATGCCTGTCGAATTTCACGGCATTTCAAGGCTTGGCAAAAAAACACAAGATGTTCAACTTCCAAGATGTTTCTGTAAGTTCCAAAACCCCTCAAAGTTCAAATACTTGAAAGAGCTTAAATAAGCTCTTGTTTCTGTCAACCAAAAATTAAAAAATATTTGTTCAATTAGTAAGCCTTAGATTTTGTTGAGGACGGTACAGTATATTAAACCAAAGCTCCCGTTTGTCCCCCGGGATCCCCTATGAGCCCCCAAATTTCTGAAATCCTTCACAGTACAGGAAACATGGCTTAATATTCTTTGGGGTAAAACTTTCCCGATGGTTTTCAGCCCCATTTCAGGAAAAGTGGCTAAGTGCTGTGTCCCTGCAAAATCTGGCCAAAAATTAACTGATTAATTTGGAAGCACGTTTGTTATTTGTTTTAAATCTTTGGACAATAAGAAAAGAAAAATCATCATTGGCAGGGGCTGTCCAGGGAAGGCAAAAGTCATCAGATGTGGCATTGGTATTGCTGGATTAAGTCTAATGTCCACATCTCATGATAAAATTTTTCCAATTTTAGAAAAAAACAAGTAATGAGCTTACTATAGTGGCAGTTCAAATGATGGTTCTCCTGCTTCTGGAAGAAAACCTGCATAGACTACATAAACATGTACAAAGAGGCTACCAACTAGCTGAAAAATGCCATAAATCTGGTTGGGATATTCAATTAGCCCCCTTGCGTGCATATAAAATTTATGGAGCAAGCTAATAAAAACACTGGCCAGCGCAGGACCTTGATGTGCTGAAATGCAAAGCAGTGAGACAGGAACTTAAAATGTGGCACCATTTCAAGCTTCCACACGTTAAATGCAGACACAGTCTCCCACACTCTCAGCTGAGAGTGGATGTGTGCCAAAGGGTCGTCTGATAAAGTCACGCTTATTACTGTGGCCCCATTCTGTTTTGTCCCAAATAAATTCTGTTGCAGTTGAAAGGTCACTTTCACGATAGAGACAGACAGATGAGGTGTGGTCATTGTTAACATGTTTCATTTGCCCAAACTTCATTGTTAAACTGTCTGTACTTCCATTGCTAGAAGCCCCCTTTCTATATTGATAGGGGGCAGGGTGCGTTGTTGCCAGACCTACATGTACATGTATAGTGTAAATGTAATTCAACCCCCAAGCAACTCTGTTTCATTGTATATCACACACAAGCCTGCTTGTTATTGTGCTTTTTATGCAGTAGGATTTGCGGTTCACTTAACTTATTTGTCCCAGTTTCCTAGTTGGACTCTGTTCAGAGAGCAGCTCAATGTCCATGCTGACCTGACCAAGCGATTTCTCAAAGAGAATATAAAAGTGAAATTCACAATTTTTCAAACTAGAGCTCCTGTTTTGGGACATACTTAAGAATCTCTTCATCTGTGGGGAGTAGTTTCAAGCTTGTCCCTGAGACCCCTTCCAGTGGCCTCTCTGAGGGGACCGACATACATGTGGTGGAGATACATACCAAAACTCATCCCGATGGGATGCCAATTCAGGCATCTCTTTATTTGGGGGGGTTAGAACCCCTCTCCCACTCTGCTTGATTAGCTGGCATTGTTTGCTCAGCGGAAATGTTTACAAACACTTGCTATGTTACCTGGCTACCGTGCCTCTGATGCCCCAGGGCTGTGCATGGGCTTGTAGGAGCACTTAGCTTGCAGGAAGGTTTGTTCTGGGTGGGTAGTTCCCTTTTGGATGTTGCCTTCAGTGTCTTCTCAATTCTCTTATCTGCCGTGCCCTCTCCCATTTTCCTCTCCCATTTTCGCTGGCCCGAGCTATTCTTGTTGCATATTCATTAACTTTTGCATACTCAACAATTTTGCATAGTTGTACAAAAGAAGCAAGCACACGGTCATTTGAGCAAAACGAGCCACGTGTGGAAGAAGATAGACAGGTACTCGCCATTAAGTAACTGGTAGCAGCGAGTGGTAAATTAATACCTGATTTTCTAGCCTATACATGACAAGTACATGTACCTTGGAAGTCTATTCCATTTATGCATACGGAAAAATAAAATCCACACAGATCACGTGGATCATTTTAAGCATACGCACATGTAAGCCTACAGTGTACATGTTCATGTACGTGTAATGTAGGTATCCAAGATGTACGCAAGACATAACTTCCAACTTCTGATGGATGGTATTGTATTGCTGTCACCGTCAAAAACAGTCAAAAATTCCTTCCACTTGATCTGCCCCAGTACACAGACACTCTGACTGATAGGACAACAGTGTCAAGAATGTGCCTTTGCATAGGAGGGTTACAGGTGCTGTTGCAAATTAAATGCAAGGTGTCAAACCTTTCACAGAGCCTGCCGAAGATGGGCCGACTAATTTTATCGGACAATGTCCATTTCAGTCCAACTGTGCCTCCTAAATTCTACATGTTCCAAGAAAGCTGAAGAATCCTGAAAGGGTGTCTCAAACATCAGCAAAATCCTGAGCCTTTCATCCTTGATGGAGAATGAGTTTGCTCTCGCTGTTAAATCCAAACCTGTTCAGCCATCGCAGGGAATTAACCAGAGATTATCTGCAGATCAGTGCAACATTAGGGAAGGATTATGGGCCATTTTTACATTGTCACTGCCAGTCAGATCTACTGGTTCATGCACGTGTAGATAATAGGAATGGTCGCTTTATGATCAAAAGTAACTTATTTATTTGTTTATTTTTAATTTTGTTTTCAATTAGAACTTAGAAGATTGAATGCAGTTTAGAGTTGTTCTGCTTTAGGTCTCTGTTTTGGCTGGGCATAGTCGGCAATCGCTACAAAGTGATTTTGCATACCTTGAAATCAAATTGTGCATCAACTGAAAATGATTCCCAGAGGGGTTGACGGTCTTCAGAAGAGAATGTTTTAAAATGTCTTCTTGACACATTTACAGTTAAACGTGCTGCACACCACTTAGTTTAACGGTACATTTCTAGCATGTTGACAGTTATGCAGTCTTTGAGGGGTCATTTTTGTTTAGCATGCGAAGCAAAATAGATTTCTATTTCAAAGTGCTGTCTTTTCGAAGATAAGTCTTCGAGCATGGTGTTTGCTGTCGGGGGACAGAATACTCTTTAACAGGTTGAAGAGCTTTACATGTATCCCTAACTTCCCGAAAAAAAAGAATGCTCAAAAGTCAGATTTTTTGTGTGTAATGATAATACCAGTAGTTCATTGACTTGATGTTGTGAAGGTGAGAAGTTCATGCGATTCAGTGTCAAGAACCGGTACCACGAAATGAACTGACGCACACAAGTAGCAGGCTACAGTAACACTCCTGGCTTGATACAGTATTTGATAATCATGCCGTTTACCAGTCATTGTGAGTGATCCTGTAATGGGCCCACACCAGGGAACCAACTTTGGCCTTGACCTACAAGTTCAGACCGATTGGCAGTCAACAGTCACAGCAGAAAAAAAATGTGGCTGTTTTTCAGTACACTCATGTCTGCCTTTCCAAGTTCTACCGGGCAGGTTGTGAGCTTTCAGACAACTGTAGACTGCATTATTAAAACTATAAAAAAAAATATTTTGATAAGTTTCCTCGAAACCTTGGGTCGTGTTTGATCACAGGAAAATGGGAGCATTTCAACAATCTCACCGAAAAGGAAGGAAATGAAACAAAGGCATGGATTTGTTTTCACAGCTTTATTGTGAAAGTCACACATGCTGGACTCTTAAATAAGATTTCCCTTGTTTAAACAAACATCAAGTAAATCTGTGTTGTTTTGTACATGTTGTATGTACAGGTACTTGGACACGTCTATGTGAAGTTCATCTGTTTTTGTAATGCCTTTTTTGCTCATTTTCCAAGCAAAGCTGATTTTTCCATTAGATGAAGGAAGTGTGTCTACATGAACACAAGTACTGCGGCTGCTGAGTTGATGCTTTCTCTCAATGAATTAAACTCTGGTGTCCCTTGGCATGTCCTGGACTGTCATCAGGAAGGGTGTCAATTTTGTGGGGGGGGGAGAGAGGTAGACTGCACCACAAATTGTTTCTGTCTGAACGTTTTACTCCCATGACCACAGATTCAGCACAAGAGGAAGATAAAGTGGCAATCGGTTGGCTGGTAGCCAGCAAGGAGTGGTTATCCCATTAACCTGTATCTGCTCTAGGAAGTTTGGGGGGGGTATTGTGAACCTTGACCTTTGTCTTTTTGCTCATCCTGAGTCAGGGAGAAGTAACTTGTGTTTCAACAGCTGTGGAAATCAAGTTTGAACATGTTCTTGCTCTCTCTGTTGGCACGCTTATAAATTGGGATCTCTTGTAGAGTTTTCTTGGTCGGTTTAATAAGAATTGATATGAATACTTTGAATTTGTAGCTTCATATTCCTGCATCAGTTCTTGAGATCTTACCATCCACCTCTGTGCACAATTTGTAGCGCTTTCTACATTTGTGGCCCGGCTGCTGAATGAGACTTCTCACCGCACAATAGCTGCACAAAGTGTACATGTTGCACAGTTATGGCACATTATGCCCACCACAATGCCTCACTGTAACCGCCCGGCTTGGCTGAATCGAACGGCTGTTTGCCCAATCCTCTTTCCGTGCCCACTTGAGGGGGATTTAAACTAGGCCGGGATTGTGCCTCGAGACCTGGGGGGACCCCTCTATACAAACTCTTGTGTTCCTGTCCTTTTGTCGCGACCATTCTCCGAGTTCCCTTTCAGAAACCCCCCTTAAAAGCAGCAGGGGAAGAAAAGAGAGAGAGAGAGTGAATTTATTGTTGGCATTGTGGGCCAGGAACGAAGAAGACAGAGAGAAATCATTTCGGGCCAGAAGAGAAATGACCCATGCTTTTGTTTGGCTTCTGTGATTGAATGGGGGGAAGGGGTGGGGGACAAACAAGTCCTTGTGTGTTGCACGCAGCATTTTGAGAGAAAAACTTCAAGAGGGGCAATACTTTGTTGCTTGAACCAAAGTCAGTT